GAGAGAGAGAGAGAGAGAGAGAGAGAGAGAGAGAGAGAGAGAGAGAGAGATTACGGAGAAGTGGTCCAAGTAAAATCTAAATGTAATATGAATGATCTCGGACCATGCAATTGCTCTTTCTCCATGCAAACTTACCTGATATGATATGGCCGACTGTAGTGGTATTATTCCACAAACAAACAACAGTACCCAGTAGAAATACAATACCCCGGAACTGACGACCCCGTAACATCTTACGTACTGGATAAATACTCCCACCACAACCTGACGTGATCCGACAAAATAAAAATGGACGTCAATTAACGTTTACGTAACGTGCTTTCTCGGTATACTCACGTTTGCTATCGATTCATGAATAATTCTTAGATGGGCAAAAATCGCAAAGACAGGACTTATCATACACAAGAACATATACGATTTGTTGCCTATAATACTAAGACTTTAAACGAACTTTGCCCCGTTAAAATTATTTTTAACCAAAGGATTTGTCAATATTAAAGTAGACATTTATGAAATATTTTAATTTGTTTCTTGCTTAATGTTTATTGTGTGTCGGCTGTTTTTAGTATTTCAGAAATTAAACTAGTCTGGATATGCTAAATGTAAATAAAACAACAACATGATGGTTAAATGATTTTCAGATGTTTTGGACACTAAACACCAGTTACCCGTTATTATATATATACAACAAAGTTTGTATTACTGACGATGTGAATACCCGAAATAAAATGCACACATAGGTCTAAATTAGAATATCAAATCATTGTCAAATGAAACACTGTTAGCATACATATTTAGCGGTTCTCTTATTTTACCGTTTTTCGGTTATTTTTGCGCGTCTTGCACTTCAAATATTGCGCTAACGTATGATTGGTATATTTAAACTTTTCGTATATTTTCTTTTTGCATATATTTTTGTCCGATCATTTCATCGATACACTTATCTGTTTTAGATGAACGTACATGTAACATACGCACACACGGACTCAGTGATCGTATCTCCGGCTCAACCGGTTTGTCTGCTTTTAAATGTAATATTTTCGATTATAAATTCTAGCGGACCTGCACATGTCTATGCAGGCTTGACAAGGCTTTGTCGAGGATCGCCTGAAAGCAGCATCATATTACTAGGTCCCACCTTATTTCATAAACGAACAACTCTGGTCCAACCGGTCAAACCGTTTGGGTCGCGGTAAACGAAAACGGCCCTGGTGCATGTGATAGATACTATGCCTTAACAGAACTACACTATAGATAATGCGCTAAAATATAAGTCCACTAAAATATGTATATTTACAGTATCATTGATAAAACATAAGTTTATATAATCATAACTTACTAGTGAAACTGCGCGAAGTATAATTCCGAGGTAAAACGATGTTGGGGGATCATAGATTCCTGCTGACGTAATGTTTGTGGGCGTGGTCATATTTGTAGGCGTCGTTATATCCGATATGTGTTCCCATCCCTCCTCCTCGACCGCCCATATCTGTAGCAGTGTCAGTGCTAGCAACACGACACATCCGACCTGAAGATATATATTGTCATACATGTACACCATTTTCTTCACTCAATCGGGAACAGTCGGCACTTTCCGTAAACGGGAAAATTTCCGGAAAGTGCCGACTAATCCCGATTGCTGTCAAACTCCAACATCTATACATGCATTGTATCAAAGACCCTATTAATATCAAAAGAATTCCTGTATAGTTTATAAAATAATATCGCCTGACGGATCTTTATCTGAATTAGACAATTAACACATTTAAATTGTGTTCAAAGATATTTGATAGAGGGTTATATATTGCAGTGTGAATTTTAAAGATTTTTTTTGTCATCAAATTCAATAATAGTTTAAATCTATTATACGAATGAACGTTTCGATATAATGTATACTTGATCATGCAGATTTTTTTCATTTATCTTACTATTTGTATTTAATTTTAAACAAAAAACGCATACCTGTACATATAACTGACGTCAGGAAAACGGAACATGGCAACCTATGACGTCATATAATTTATTTGATGAATATAATACTGATTATTTACACTGAAAGATAGCAAGGGCCTAATCATATGTTACAGCTATATTTGGACCTAAACTTATGTTTTCAGAGTAATTTTTACACGTTTGCGGGGTTAAGATAAATTTTTGGTAACATAAAACATTAGTTTATGTCCTAATATCGCTGTAGCCCTTAATGACTCACATTGTCGATAGGCCATTGAACAATACAAAGCATAATATCGCTGTAACAAATGCCCAGGTCCCTGCGTGAAAAAAAGTTCAACTTACCGTCTTGGTAATACTAATCGCCGTCAGTGGTAGAGGGAACGTTTTGGGGCGAAAACAAAGACACACGGTGTATATCGGAAGTGTGACGGCAAGCCATGCAAAGGGAGCCCACTCTAGTACTGTTGTTTGAAAGCAAGAAGTAAACTTAGGAGCTTCCGACTTCAGCACAGCATTTGTCTGGAAAAATGAATTTATATATCTTAGACGAATTGTGATGCGACTAACTACTGTAGTTACATGTACAACAACTATATGTCGAGATTGCAACTATATAGGACTATTAGACAAAGGCATAATTTGGAAATATGCCCCAAAGACAAGATTTCTCCTTGTCACATTCACATTAAGGTAACTGCAATTAGTCTCGTTCAACCAGACGCTTGCTCACTTTAAAATTATCTGTTCGACATAGCTTGCGCAGACAACAAGAGTCTGGTTGAACGAGACTAAACTGAAATAGGTTTTTTATTAAGGATCTGAGTGTCACTGTCCAATACTGTATTTATGATGATTAGGATTTTATTTACTATGATGATAACAGTTTTAATAAATAATTTCTGAAAAAACATGTCCCGTGGAACTTTGATAAACGATAAGAGTGAAACTCCGAAAAAAACACGGGGTCTGGGAGTAAAACTTAAATGAAACCACACCGAGTCAAAGTCTGGCTTGACAGATTGCATAATACACGATATTACTTACAATGATCGCTTCTTACACAAAATAATCAAGTATTAAATTATGTTCTGCTAGGGGCGTACACCTATGTTTGGTCTTGAGACAAATTGAATGAACTGTGAAGCAATTTATGTCAAAATTTGTCTATTGACCCTTTGAGGTTGACATCAGAATGTTGTTCTTGTAGCTCACATCAAAATAACCCAATGTAATCTAAATAATGGAAGACATTTCAGACATCGGCGCATGTTCTTTTTTTCAAAAATATACTGCCGTGATTTTAAACGCAGTTTATAATAATCCTCCCCTTCATTACGGGTGTGACAGTGAAATCCCCAACCAGAGGAGTGCTTGTTGGCAGTCTATATCGAGGCTCTACCGAAGATTAAACAACCAATCATTCCGAAGATCGGACATTTCTATGATGTACTTTCAAGGTAGAGGATGATTATTTCTATCCCTTTTTTCAAATTCTGATTTTGAAAACATTTTTTTCAGCATATGCCATTTATTTTTTATCCTGATTTGCACATGACCTTTCTATCGAAACCTGATTGTGAAGTCATTTTTGATAGCTCCCGTGACGTCACGGGATTATAATAATAATAATAATCAATAAATCCAGGTTCTTATATACCGCTTTATCACAACATAGTTCGAAGGTTGTCTCAAAGCGGTTCACAGATTATTATCCGTGGTTAAAGGGCATTTGCAACCAGCCAATATCTTTCTCAACTCCCTTGATAGCATACAGCTGATGCTGCCATTTCGGCGCACACAGCTAGCATTCAACAATTCTAGCACTGCCCAACCACGTACTCATTTACAGCTGAGTAGACTGGAACAAGCGGAAGAAAGTATCTTGCTCAAAGATACAACCCTTCGGTCACGAGCCCGGCGTCCTACCACTATACTTCCGTGCCTTCTATTGTTTTATACTTTCCTCGTTCTATCTGCCATACCCTAGAAGGTGACAGTAACCAAACCCTAGGGCCAGAACGAAAGAAAAAGCACACCATTGTGGATGACAGATAAATCATTACCTATGGGTAACAGAGAACCATACTCGAGGGGATGATAGAGAAATCCTAGTTTGGGGCACAACAGCAAAATTATAATCCAGAGATTGAAAGAGAAATGATACCCTTTTAGAAACATAAATCATACCCCAGGGGTGACAGAGAAATCATACCCCAGGGGTGACAGAGAAATTATACTCTAAGGGTAACAGAAATCATACCCGAGGGGTGACAGAGAAATCATACCCCAGGGGTGACAGAGAAATCATAATCTAAGGGTGACAGATGATTAAACCCTATGGGTAACAGAAATCATACCCGAGGGGTGACAGAGAAATCATACCCAGGGGTGACAGAGAAATCATACCCTATGGGTAACAGAAAGCATACCCGAGGGGTGACAGAGAAATCATACCAAGGGGTGACAGAGAAATCATACCCTATGGGTAACAGAAATCATACCCGAGGGGTGACAGAAAAGTCATACCCTAAGGGTGACAGGGTAATCATGCATTGGGGCATAACAGCAAAATTATATAATCCCGGAAGTAAAAGAGAAATTATACCCTAGGGGCCGACAAAGAAATCGATGAGAAATAAAGTATTGTGTATCCCCACCACAAAGGCATTAACAATTGTAGTATGCCACAATAAACCAATAAACTAAATATTCCGTCACTCGGAACATTTTTTCCGGCATCAAATTAATTGATTATAACCATTATTAGTACTAACTTTAATTCCATCCGTATTATGGTTAATAAAAATGTATTGATACTCTCATATGATTTACAGGGGTGACAATTGAGGCTATGCGTAGTCCTGCGTAGACTAGATAAGATATAGGTTAAGATAAGTACTGTATTTCGGCGTATAATGCTATCTCACGAACGAGCTTATGATCGGAATACAATTATGACTATATATACTGTCAAATCTATTTTTATAATATTGCGTACAAATGTCAACTTGATTTTATGGCCGAGTTAAATTAACATTAAACATATCTAATTTTATTTTACACTCTTTGAGAGTGTAAATTCGACTCAATCTCCCAAAAAGTCGAAACTAAGATTCGAACAACAATTTTATAAAAATATATTGAAACAAATTATTGTCAATTTCTAAAATAGTACGTGTAAATCTTCATGGTCCTCCACATCGTTCTAATTGATGACGCAATGAATTAAAACTTATTCATTTTATAACAATTATGAAACAATATTTATCCACGTTCATTTTCTGTTGGTCCAGATGTAAGTACATGGGCGGGGGTCATAATGTGGGAGAAAAACAGAGTACTGATGATAAACCCACGTGGTCCGGCAGCTGACTCCATACTGTATACTGTTTCACCTCTGTTCGGGAATCAAACCCCGGCCGTCTTGGTGAAAGGCAATTGCGCTATCCACTAAGCCACCCGACTGAGGTTTACTCTCCCTATCGGACATGAACAGGTACCGGTACATCTGTTCGTTTGTGAATTTGACAAAGTGGATTATGGCTGCTTCACAAACAGTTTGAATGAGGGTCGAGGGGTCATACACTGTAGTTTACCAGAAAAAGAGCTGCAGGGGGAATTAAATGAGGAACGTATGCAGTTAGACTTCAGTGAGATGGTACGGTGCAACATAAGACTGCAAGGTAACGATAGGCTGGTAATTGGATGTATTTACCGAAGCCCTTAAAAGTAGCCTAGAAAATTATAAGCGCTGTTCCAGACTAGCGCACATCTTAATTATAGGAGACTTTAACTATATAGAAATAGATTGGAACTTGGAGTCTACCACGGAACAACCTGAAACCATAACTTGTGATTTTCTAGAATGTATACAAGATCAACACTTGTACCAGTACATAACCGAACACACTAGATTCAGACAAGACCAGACACTATCTACATTATAGATCTAGTATTTACGAACGAAGTATTGATAAAAAGGGCGTAAATAATTTTGTAATAATTTGTGCTGAACCCCTTGTTATGTGTATAGAGCATGAACAGCGAAAAGGAAAAATCATTAACGTTGCACATCTGCGGCGTCTTATTGATGTACCACATACACATTGTGTATGTATGAGAGTGTTCTATTATCATTAAAACTGAAAACTATCATTATTTATCATTAATATGTATTTAAACTTAACTCACATACAAAACTTACCCAAAAAGGTGAATTTCCACAAATATTCTCAAACAGATAAAACTCTGTTGAACTGTTACCCCCTTCCATCTTGAAAATATGAGAGCGAACATCACAAGGAAGGCCTACACAACTATACTAACTGATTTATGTGTAGACATCGATGTGGTGTGCAGCGCCACCGTTTAAACAGCAATATTCATAAGTAAGCGTTACTTTGAATTAATGTACGTATGCCCTACCCCTTACGCGTGTGGTCACTTGTAAAAAGGGGCCCGGTCCCTGATCATGAGATATCAAGTATCTATCGGTAGTAATAAATAGCAGTCAAATATATTCGTTAACTCGTTTAGTAGCTTTAAAGATGGCCGGATGGACTAATGAAACAGATTTATATCTATTGGAAGATATTTGTGGGGATTCACCATTTTGGGTAAGTTAAATCAAAACGTTTTAGCGTTAACTGTATACTTTTGTGGGTTGGGTTAGATGAAAAACGTTTATTATACACTTTGGATTTGTGAATGTGTTTCGATGAATTTTACATTTTTTAATATGGAAAACAGTATTTTAAGTACCATATGTAGCCCCCCCCCCCCCCCCCCCCCCCCCCCCCCCCTTACAAACACCCACACACTCTCACACTGTTTCCAATATATGTGTTGCCATCACGTGCTATCAAACGTATTGTGTACTTCACTGTCTTGAGCCGAGAGAGCCTATCTATCTTTTTTTAAACTTCATTTATTTTACCAAAAATATGAAAAAAAATATTACAACTTATATGTATCACCCTTGTTGGTCCGGGTGTAAGAGCACTTGGGACTTGGGGGATGGGGGGGGGGCTTATTGTGTTATTGTGGGAGGAAATCGAGTAGTAAACGGAGAAAATCCACGTGGTCGGGTAGGTGAACCCATACCTTTTCACGTCCGATCGGGGAATCGAACCCCGGCCACCTTAGTGAAAGGCAAGTATACTATATCCACCGCGCCACGCGATCACCCTTTTTGATTTACCAATACAATGTTTGAATGAATGATTAAACATTTAGTAGACATTCTAAAAAAAAATTATCAAGGCAAACAATCCAATTTAAAGTTTATGTTGTGATCTACATTTCATCTTAGTATATGTGATGATATAGTTTAATGTATTCATATAATCAACATCTCAGTTTGTGACAGGACAGTCAACGCTGTAATTAATTCATTAGCACGTACTTTACATTGCAACATAGGTCGAAATACTTTAAGATATTACTATGAATTTTTAAAATCTTACTAAGTTATGCCTATCCATAGCTTATAGCGTGTTATATAAAACATATTGAGCAACACTTTATTTAAACTTAAATGCTATTTGACTCGACTTTGATATGAAAAGATAAAAGTCCACGTACCATTGCCAAAATCTGTAGATTCGCATTGGAAACTTATATTTTTGTCGGCCTGACTACAGTATTGGTAGATTATTTCTTAAAGAAAACCATACCTTTTGGGACTTCAAAGATTTTCGCAGTCAGCCTGCCATTTTTTTCAATAGTAATTAGCTAGGTTGACGTCAGCTGTGTGCCGATACATGTTGTGTGATTGGCTTGAAGCTTAAGTGCAGCCATTTGTTCGCTTAACCAACCTTTACTGAATGTTTCGGCACGCGCTGACCTCAAAACCTCATTAATGTTTTAAAAAGTGGCAGGCTTACTGCGAAAAAAGTAAAATGTTACGTGCATATAGGAGGTCTTTAAAAGAAAAAATATCCATCTTTCCAACGGTATTAAGCATTTTCCCGTAGATCAACTAGACATGTTATTTTTGGTGCAATGAAGTTAGGCGGTGTCGACTTTTCAACACCGAAAGCTTCCCGCCCTTCTCCGTACATATGATCATTGGAGTGTCATGTTTACCGAAAGTTGATCTAAACTCCTAAAACTTGTAAAATTATTATGAACACCTTAGTTTAAAGCTTAGTCTAAAATGTCCACAAGTTGATATCAGCCCGGGTAATATCATACCCCCTTGAAAGTGATATCACACCCCCTTCCAAATTTCCGGAATTTGCCGCTTTCGCTTATTGCTGTCTGCTTTTTATGTAAACGAACGAATTGTTGGCATGGATAAAATGCGGTTTCAGGGGGAAATATTTAAAGATTGATTTACAAAGCCCCACCCTAAACTCCGAAAGGCGCCGCTTCCGGATTTGGTTTTGCTTATTAGTGTTACACCCTGTCGTCTGCATAAACAACGATAGCGACTGGCGAGGAGATTTTGGAGGAATTGGCAAGGATTGTTGTATTATTTTATTTCATTTTCTGATATTCATTGTAATGGTAACAAAAACAATGTTGCATATATACAAAACAGTAACAGTTATTGTCAGGGAGGGTCATTCAATATGAAAATTGCCAGCTATGAAACGCCATTAAAAAAATCGTTCAATTGAATTCCAACCAGATCTATTGTGTTATATTGTTAAAAATATTAAAAACCATATTATTTTGTAGGAATTTGGGAATTTTAAAATGTTGCCCTTTTACGTATAATTGTTACTGTTTTGTTTATATACATCATTGTTTTTGTTACCAATTTTATGAATATCAGTAAATAAAATAAAGAAATATTTGTGTGTGTGTATGTTTGTTCTTTTATAGGGAAAAAATATGATAAAAAATTTATGATATGACTATTTTGATATCACCCCCCAAATCAGCTCTCGAGTGTTGATATCAGGTATCTCGGACTGATATGGGGTGTGATATTAAAATGGTCATATAATAAACTATATATATATATATATATGAAAACTTATTATTAGAATTTTTATATTGATCGTGTGCTTTAAAAGTGTATGACCATACAGTCATTCTAGATCTAAAAAAATAATTAAGCTACTGACCACGTGCATGCTCGACGTTGCTGAACTAGTGAGCGGGTCCCCGGGTTGTACTGCAACGGTGGAAAGACTAGCTTGCCATTAAGCCAGTACTTTCCACTAAAATTCCTTAGCTTTTTCAGTATTTGCCGTGCTTTATATTAATCTTGAAATTCTCTTAATATAATTAAATATTTCAGACAAAGGAAGTGCTGAAGTCAGAATATCCGAAATTCACATCGTGTTTTCAAACAACAGTACTAGAGTGGGCTCCCTTTGCGTGGCTGGCCGTCACACTTCCGATATACACCGCGTGTCTTTGTTTTCGCCCCAAGACGCTTCCTCTACCACTGACGGCGTTTAGTATTACTAAGACGGTATGTACACATGATTCTATAATTGCCATAATTTAACTCAAATACTATATATTATGTTTATCCAATCAAAAAGGACAAAATGATATAAATGTAGTGGTTTTTTTTTATTATGGAATATAACTGAACAAGGCAATACATTGTGCATTAGTCACCCATTGATGAATCGGCGCTTTTACAAAGTATGCAAAAAATAAAAACACGGGATCTTCATTAAGTGAAGTTATAAGTTAGAGCAAATATTTTAGCGCGAAAAAACGCTAAAATATGTTTACCATTGAAATATTTACGTTGACAGTATTTCACCGTTCAACATGTCGAAACCGCCAATATCGTCCATATATATTATGTAGTTTGTCTTGCTTTTTCATAACTAGATCATATGTATTGTTGGTGAATCAAATTAATAAAGGCAATTTCTATTTCGATGTATTTTTATAAAGTTTCTTATCAATGTTTACATTTATTCCGGTTTGTTATTTAATATATACATATTTTTGTTGTTGTTAAATATTTCAGGTTGTATGTGTCGTGTTACTAGCACTAACATTGCTTCAAATATGGGCGGTACAGGAGGAGGGATGGAAAGCCACGACCGCGCCCACAGACTTGACCACGCCCATAAACATGACGCCATCAAGGACAGAACCTCCCCCAACTTCATTTTATATCGGAATAGTGTTACGCGCCGTATCTCTGGTACTTACTTTAATTCTGATTCAAAAAGCGCTTGTCACAATTTTTGCGAATAGGAGGAATTGTAATCTAGAAAGTAAGGCTAGTACAGAGTACACATATTGAAATAGTGTGATTATAGTTCATTTAAACATATTGACAAAGGGATTAGTCGGTAAGTTTTTCCAACTTATCAATTGCCAATTGACTTTTATAGACTATGAATATGTATAGCTAGTCCATTTGAATATTCAATTAACCCCTTTCAAAATAGTTAACTATCTTTCACTTAGGAATCAACAACCTTTTGTTTTTGTTTTTTTTTTATTTCAAAAAATCACTCCCATTGATTGACTAAATGCCTTAGAGGTTAAACATTGATCCGTTAAAGTGATTAGCCTCGATCAGACATATATAAAGAAATTATACTATAAAATATTGAAAGAGACAAAATAGCAAAAATTAATTACCTAAAAAACTGTAAAGCGAGATAACTATGTAGTGTCCAAGTATTACCGGAACTCTCGGTCGTAGTCTCGTTGTACTTTTTTAAGACTCTCAGTGAAAATATTTCATGCGGTCATTAAATCTGACTTTTGTTTGATCTTTGCAGGCTGTGGTGGGGTTGTTTATCCAATACGCGAGATGTTCTGGGGTGGTGAGTTCAGGAATAATATTCTTTTACTGGACTCTTTTATTTGTCTGTGGAATAATACCACTTCAATCAGCGATTTCATACCAGGTAATAAGATATATCATCATTTTTTTCGATTTACCTTCAATTCAAAAGATGAATTCCTGAATTTTTCGTCTGGTAGAGATCATTTTATTATAAAATTATATTTACAGAAGGATACAAAATGAGGACGTATATATATTTTTTTATTTAAACAGATTTTATTTGCAAAAAATACAAAAGGGATTAGACACAATTTATAAAATCTTAAGTTTGCCTTCTTCCTTAAAATAATAACGATGAAATATGCATATGGCTGCACAGTAGAAAATATTGATGACTGTAAATTTAGATGATTCAAAAGGAAATATGAATAAGGTAAAATATACAATATACAAATCTTACAGATTATCTTTTGTATTGAATGTTCCCTTACATGTCTCGTTAACCTGTAAATAATATAAACATACGCTGTAACATTACTGTAAACAATCTATAGCTTATATTTTCTTATTGAAACTTCTGTCAATGATACTTATCGCATAGACACTAAAACAATATAAATTCAATAATTTGCTAACATACTTATTTTAGCTAACTAGAATGTTAGAGCATTCTCGCTATTTAGCAAAATATATTAAGCACATTGACACAACTGCAATATATGCAATAGAACATGATATACGAAGACTTCATTTAGCGCAATGACAAACAACAGAATCATATTCTACATAACTTAAGATATATTTAATATCAATGAGTCTTTAGTAAAACCTTCCTAAAGTCGTCGCATTTTATATCAGTTTGTGATTGGCTGTTTTGAAAATCACGTGACCCTGACTGTTTTTGATTGGTGTTGCTAGGTAGATTATACAAGGAGTATACTCCACTACGTCTACATGGCGGTCCTAGGTACACAACTTATCCTCCATTGTGTCGCCGACACGCGTTCAGGACAGCTGTACCAAGAAGTTGGAGAGAATGGCGTGAGTAAACTAATGCGTCATTTCCGGTTAAATTATATTGTGTCTAGTAAGTTCCGGTTGCAATAGAGCAGAATATTATCATTAAAATCTACTTAATTTAGATTTGAAAAGACATTGTTGACTTTAACTTGTTTAAGGTTGAAACTTGTTTAAATATTTTCTTTAGAATGGTAAGTATGGATTTTGTACAGGTTCATATTCCGTCTTTTCGTATTGCAGAGTTATCTGCTCTTGTGAGTAGGTATTGATTGTTACGTCATTTGTTTGTGAGAGTAACGTCATCAATTTTTGAGAAAACGTCGTTATTTTCTCACACAAACCAATGACGTAACAATCAATACCTGCTCACAAGATAAGATAACTCTGCAATACGCAAAGACGGAATAATACTGCCAGTAAGTTTTACGATGACTGCACAGTCATGTAGTATGAGACATATCGTATCGTACTATCACGTGGTTTATACGCTTTAGCATCCCGCATACACACTTCACTGGCTGTGCTATATGAACCTGTGCACTGGTTGTGATATATAGTCAGAGTTATATTTTCTCCCGAACTTATTGCCTGTGTATATCAAATACATTAAATAACTTTTCTTAAGAGAACGCGGAACATTTAATACTTATAGTCATAGATTATACACAGGTTCATATAACACTACCAGTTAGCGTTTCGATGACTAGTACGATACGTAGTTTATAGACCTTAGAGTCCAAGACACACACTTTACTGGCTGTGTTATAGAAACATGTACACAAATTGTGCTATAGTGTTATGTTTTTATTATGTATTTCAGCCGCAGTGCCCGGATGAATATGCTTCAACATTATCGCTGTTAACATACTTTTGGTTAACTCCGTAAGTACATGGATCTACATGACTTGGTTTTAAAGGGTTAAGTGTCCTATTAACAGCTAATGTTATTTAAGATCGAGTCTCCATAATTATGTGTGTAATGTTTGCGTAAGTCATGGAGACGGGGATACGAACCCAGAACTACTTATTTGATCATTATACTGTTTTTTAACCAATTGAGCTACATTGAATTCTTGATATCTAGCCGCCGCTGAAACGTATGGTTGTACAGTAAAGTTAAGAATTTCTTCATTACTGATTTAAAACGTCAAGAAAACACTGTCTCTTGTCAATTTCTCGACATGAATTATTCATTAGAAGTATCATTTTTTAAAAGCATTACGAATTCTATAACAATATGTTTAAAAACACTTTCTTCACAAAATTGTCCCTTTAAAGCAACTGTTATTTAGAAAATGATATCAGAAATGTGAAAAATAAACAATTTCTAAAAAAAAATATTCACAAATGTTATAACATGAGTCAACTCAATAACTAGTACGTTTTACATACACTATGCCATGCAATCCTTATTTGTGATGATATTTTCTTTTATTTACATTATGAGTGATTTCAATATCAAGGACTAAGGTGGTATTTTAAATACTTTCGATAATGTATGTTTCATGACTACTTTATAGTATCGTCATCAAAGCATTCAGAACGAAGATGGGTACGGAAGATCTTTGGGAACAGACACCACGCCTGAAGTGTCAAAACGCAGTGTACGAACTAGGCAGGTCCTGGGACGCCGCAAAGCTGAAAGCGGACATTGCGAATAGGTTAGCAACATTTATATCATAATACCTCACAAAATAAAAAAACAGCACTGAATAAATGACCAACCGGAAACAGTATATTACTGTAGTAGGACTAGGAATAGTGATAAGATAATACCGTCGAACCCGCGACTCTTGCTCTCTAGTCCGATGCTCTACCGCCAAACTATTCCCACCTTTTTTTCAAACACCAACCCAGGTTATTTGACTCCCCGCAAAGGGTTCTCCTACCTAGAACGAGGAGGGTAAAAAATCTCTACAGCTGACGCTTTTAAGGCAACCTAATAAATGCACATCTTTTAACTTATTTAAGGATTAACTTAAATATAGTTTTCCTGCTATGGACATGTAACACAAAAACGGAGTGTACTCTAAATGAACCGCAAAGCAGTTTATGATGAGAGTACACTCCGGTTATTTGTGTTATAGCTCCATAACATAAAAAATATATTCGAGTCATTCCTTATAATTTAATCAACTATACACACTCCCTGTGGAAATCCACTTTTATTGATGGACTCTTTTCTCTTAGAAATTATTACGCCGCTGTATCAGCCAATCAAAAGCGACGTTACAACCGGCGACGTCATTTTTTACGTTATGTGCTGATAACATAAATTGTTAAGCCAATAAAAATACTTGTCGCTTAGGCCAAACACATTGTCCCTTACAACATTGATAATAACATAAATATAGAGCTGTATTGGTTACTTAAACATGGGTAAACAAATCCCAAGACATCTATGAAGGTTTCAACTCGTAATTGAGATGGTTAGCAAGTTTGTTTTAACAATATTTTGTATACAAAGGTATATTTTTTCAATTTTGAACACTGGCAAGTTTTGATGTAATTACAAAAGAAAGCGTTTTGACATTCATAGATATTCAATGTCGATGTATATTTATTAAACATCACGATACTCACTGCTCTGCTTCGTTGATAACATGGACATTTTCATTTATAATGATAAAAGTGTAGCTTTTCTTTTGCACTTCAAAAGAGTATCGCACACTCAATTTAAAACATAATAGTACTGAATGAGTTGAGTATGTTTATTTAAGATTAAACTTGCTGAATTGGTTTAAGTGTTTATATTTTTATATACACTTTCATTCGCACGCTAACTCCTTAAAACTAGTCAAATTGTGAACAAAAGAAAAATGTACATAGATGCCCTAGAAACAGTACACGTGAAAAAGTGTTCTGGAAGGGCAAGCGTCACCTGCCATGTAAATCTAGATCAAATCCAAGCAAAGCCACGTTCTTATTGCGAGAAGCGGGGCAGCGAAAAACAAGGCATACTTGTTAGCTTTATAAAATATCAACCATTTTATCCCTTAATAAATAACGTATTTCCAAATGAGATTAGTATGGCCTCCATAAAACTCGTCATTAAACTTCACTATAGAAACACTGCTTCAATCACGTTTTTCTTTTCTAATTTGTAAAGAAAAGTTTGAAAATGTCACAATATGTCGAAATGAAGTATAATAATTTTCCTGTACCAGAGTATGGCAATACATAACCAGCTTTAGAGAACGGTATTATTGCGGAACAAATAGCTCCAACTCTGCATATTCCAGAATAGAACGTTTCGGTTGAGCAAACTGTTTGGATAAGTCCTGAACAACCTCTTTCCTTTAACAGAAGTACGCTTGGAACAGCTAGACAGAAGAGCCGACAGATCGTCGCGAACGGATTTGCCAAATCTGGTGAGGACACACCTCTTCTGTCTTCCGGCCACGTCACTTCCGGTGGTATTGATCCATCCGTCACGACGTTGAAGAGACCGTCGCTATATTGGTCTTTGTTTAAGACATATGGCCATATATGGTTGTTGACGTGTTTCGCTAAGTTTATTAGTGACGTGTGTTTTTTGCTGCAGCCGGTTCTACTAGGGTAGGTACACAATCCCTTTGATGATTTAAGTGCACTATTTTACGTAGATTTTAAGTTGAAGAGTTCTTATTTGGAATTTACATTTTATATCGTTAAATATTCATTTCTATACAATACTTGAAATTTGTTTTTTGTTATGCTTGAAGTGTTAGTGTTGTTAATAGATATGTGATGGTTAGTTCACACATATGCAGATATATAAGCTAGCATCATAAATAATCTTTTTACAACATGTGAATTAACATATTTCAGTTTTTATAATCATTCTTATTTTTAAAAGTCCTCATGTATAAAAAGGCTCAGATTTTCAAAAAAAAAACACTTTGTTTTTACATATATGATGGTACGCCGCCATCTTCCATTGTGACGTCATGATGCATGCGTTTCCCTGATCGAAAGCAGAGTGATAGTTGTGGGAGAAAACGGTCAACTAACTCATAATGGCTACTTGTCTTCTTTACCTTACTCTAACTAGCCAATTTATAAATTGTGAAAGACACTTGGTAAGCCCAGTGTCTTAATACAATATTAAAATTAAAGACTTCAAGTTAGACAGACAGTTTGTCCAACCAGCACGAGTTCTGCGTCTTACGTTGAAATCTGTTTCAGTATGATCGTGTCCTATATCGAGGCTAAGGACAGAGAACCGGCGTGGATTGGCTACGTACTTGCAGTGCTAATCGCTTTAATAGGGGAAGTAGAAACCTTCGCCTACAGCGCTTCGCTTCATTTCTCCCTGACCCTTGGCATCAGGATCAAGTCGGCCCTTGTAGGGGCTATCTACCAGAAGGTTTGTGAAGTGTCTGTGTGACTTTATACAATAAGCGCATAAGGTTGTCTTGCAGACAGAGATAAGTGGACACGTCATCATAATTTAATATATACAATTACAAACGTTATTTAATTTACAACCATTGCCAAACAAGTTATTTCAACTTATATGAATTACTTTCATCGGCCTGGATAGTAGCGCATAGGAAGAAACCGGAGTACCCGGAGAAAACCCACGTTGTCGGGTAGGTTTCCCCATACCTTCCCACGTCTGATCGGCAAATCGAACCCTGGCCGTCGTGGTGAAAGGCGAGATCGCTATCCACTACGCCACCCGACCACTACCTTGAATATTTGTATAGAATGTAGGTAATAGGATTTTCCTAATGCGTTGGTTTCTATATTTAGGATAAGGTTAAGGATCCTTGTACCACTGCTTAAATCTGTAACAATCCTTGGAAAGGCTAAGGTCATAGCTTTGATAAATCATCTGTGAAAAGTAAACCATACACTGCAGAACATTTATCAAGAAATAAGTTCCCGTAACAAAAACACAACTAACAAAAATTCAATATATTGAATGCAAAAAGTACAATGAAAAAACAATTAACATCAATGTTTTGAGTGCAAAATCACATTGAGGCCAGATCAGGATTCAAACCCAGGACTTCAGATCATTGTACTGTGGATTTGTTCGTGTATACAGCAACCTCCCTTAAATTTCGTTTCTGATACAACTGTAGCACGAAGGAGCCAAGACACATTCGTTGACCAAAGCATCACGTCCAGAGTTTGACTCGGGGTCAAAATGATTTATACTATAACCATGACGGAAAAAACGTTTTCTGATGCGTTGGTAGAGCTTTTAGTAGTGGAACGGGCATCCTAAAATGGCTCTACCGAATAAAGTGATTGTGTCATCAAATTGTTAAATCTGGCTCTGTTTGTTTACAGTCACTGCGGATGAATAACTCGGTAAAGAAAGATTTCACGGTTGGGGAGATTGTAAATCTGATGTCGGTCGACTGTCAGAGAATTCAGGACTCCTTCGCCTTCCATCAATGGATATTCTCCTTATTTTCAATCACAATTATCGGTAAGTAGTGAACTAGCATGGGCACATGTATGTCGTCATAGTTGCGTAACAGGTATCGTTGTATAGTGTGTTATGTCTAGAAAATTATATATATAATTAAATGCCCATCTAAATAGCCGTTGAACGGAACCGGAAACTCCGTTGCTGCACCACATGCGGTGCCTGTGTTTTGCCGCCAGGAAAAATATCAGGAAATAAACGATTTAGAATAGTGCGTAGAACAAATCTACAATCATGCTGACACGAAATATCACACTGCTATACTGTATACCGGGATATTTTCGCCCAGTGAAACTCTCGTCCTACGTTGGTAAAATTCGTATTCACTAAGTGCTAATGTCGCCCTTCACATTTGATTGCTATAAACCTCTCACAACCAAGGTAGTGTTATAAGTGTTAGGTCATTGATATAAACCTCTCACAACCAAGGTAGTGTTATTATTGTTAGGTCATTGTTATAAACCTCTCCCAACCAAGGTAGTGTTATAAGTGTTAGGTCATTGATATAGCCTCTCACAACCAAGGTAGTGTTATTATTGTTAGGACATTGATATAAACCTCTCCCAAACAAGGTAGTGTTATAAGTGTTAGGTCATTGATATTTGGCAAGGAACATTCTTGAACGGGTGGCTTTAACATGTTTCAATGAATGACCTTCACATTAATTGAATATGACTTAAAAAATGACTGTCAAATTCCACCTTCAAATTTTTACAATTTTGGAATTGAATCAGTACTTTATTCCTTCCATTACTTAGATTTATATCAAACGGAAAACAAAGCTGACTCTCAGTACTATGGTTTGAGGGTAAAGACCATGAGATTTTAAAATAGGGTTGTGATCAAAGATCAAATCAGTCCTAACGGTGAAAAGCCCGTCAAATTGTTAGCCAACAATTTCTAGTCTTTATCATATTTACTAACGAGGGCTCTTATGGTAAATTCGCCTTCATTACCGAGGGCGATATGTGAAAGTTAAACAGCGGCAACAATTTCCCGGTGTACCGTATACATCTCAACTTTGACGGCATGTTTTATAATCAAACTGTATTAAATGATTAATGTCGAGTAGTTGTCTCTTAATGCAAGTGGTCTCTTAATACAGGGTAAAATCATAACAATATCACCTCTATGGGTAAAGTTAAAAGTGGTCTCTTAACATATGTCGTCCCTTAAGATTATTCACTATGAAATCACTTCAATGTTTACCCAGGTGGTCACATAAGCAAGTTTGACTGTATATAATATATATATGATCTTAGATGAGCTTCCATTTCATACGAGATTTAAAAAACGTGTCTAGGGGTTTAACATTTTGAATGAGCTATTTGAACGCTAACATTTAAAAAAATCTTTATCTATTATTTCCATTTTAATGTCATAGTATAAACTGTCGTCATTTCATTATTATATGATGACGTCATATGGTCATTGGTTTAGTTTTATTCGATTCAACACCCTTATAGACCAATCACCTGTTTTGTAAATTCGTTCATAATACATCAGGGCCATTTTCATGAAACCGTACCGCTACTGATGTAAGGATTATATGCTCTTGTAAAGGTCACGTCAAGTCATTTCAAACAGTCTTCAGCTTTTTGTTAATCCAATCCTCATCAAAACCATTAATAATGTGAAATGTAACTTTTGATCTATCTTATCACAGAATCACGAAATTTGGAGTTCTATAAATACAGTCGTTCAGTTCTCTTAGCCTGGACAGGTGTATCCCCACCTTTCCCAATGTGGTATATTCTTGTCCTATGGTTGAAACAGGGGATTACGACAAGATTCACCAGTCAAATTGTTTTACGACGTAAAGTTAAAAATAGAATTACGTTACGTCAAAAATGTATAAACGTTAACGCAATGCGTTAAGTATAGAACTTAAACACTGCATTGAGATCAACAGGGTAGGGGAAAGGAATCTTTCACCTCCTGGTGTGAGATGGTACGTATCAGCCATCGGGAAAAGATTATTATGTTGTCAAATATTTGGCAAGTCTCCTGAAGTGATTGAAAGATTATATTAAACTGTTTGTTATATGCAGGTCTGTACCTTGTGTGGGCCTACGTGGGAGACGGTTTGTATGGTTGCATAATCATTGTCGTCATCTTATCCATCCTAAATATCTACTTTGGCCTCCTTCAAGAGAGATACCAACGAGGTATTCTAAAGTTCAAGAGCAACAGAATGAAACTCTTCAACGAGGTCCTGAATGGCATCAAGGTAAGATACACCCCTTTCGCTCTCTGCACCCATGGATTATGTCATAGCAAAATTGAAGGCTCGCGGCTAGCTTTTTGATTGGTCTCTAGTAAAACAAAAAACAAAAAAGCATTGACCAATCGCTAGGCTGATACCTGTCCTTTGAAGATTACAGAGGAGAGACACCCGACTTCAAAGCGAGCCAATTGTTTCGTTACCCGACCGACATATTCTTTTGATGTACATCAAATGATCAAACTAGTCGTTGTGTCTCATCCAAAAGGTGATTGACACTTATCCATCGATTTTTATATGACATGTTCCAGGGGTTCCAGTGAGAGTAAACCCTGGAGTATTAAGGGTGTTAAAGTTGATATTTGATAAGGATTCTAAGACGGTGTAAAATACTGTAACAGAAGAATTTGTGTGGTTATCAATTGAAATTTCATAATCAATGATTAGTTTTATGAAAACCTTAAATCTGTGTGATCCATATAATAATTGATTCAGTTTGATATCGTTCTAAAAGCAAACTCTGTTTTAATTTAACACCTTTCTCCTATGAAAATATATCGAAATGTTACTTACATGTATGTATTGCAATATATCGTATTTCTGTTCAGGTACTGAAAATGTATGCCTGGGAATCTACATTTATTGAGCAGATAAAAAAAATTAGGAATCTCGAGATGAATTTTCTTAAAAAGAATGCCATAGTAACAGCGTTTGGTCTTGTTGTGGCCAATCACAGCCCTTTCTTCGTAAGTACACTGTAGAATCCATATAAATATTTTTCTGATACTTGATAGTGTGACAAGTAAGGAATTATATGATATGAGAGAGTGATAACATAGGATATAACTTAAATAATATGTTGGTTTCAGAGATAAAAGTACCTATCGCATGGGGTTTTAAAGAACACCTGTGAAATTTACTCGGTGTTGCTATTTTTAGAAAAAGCATGTCACTATTTAATTTATAACGTCATTTTAAAAGTAACGTCAAAATGGTTTCTGTTGGAATATTTCCTTAGCACAATTTGTGCATGTCCTATAGTGTTTGATAAGTAAACTATTATTTAATATAACTGTAAAGGGCTTTTATTAAGGTAAATATGTGGGTAAGGCGAAGGTTAATATCACTTTATCAGGTACATAAAACCAAGTATTCACCTCAACAAAAGTAAATTATTGATAAATACTATTTGTAGATTTCAATACGGTTTTCTAACATTTTGTTAAAACAAGTATTTCTGAATAAATAGTTGCATGAAGTTTTATAAGAGGGGTTACGAAAACTTAAAATCGTAATTTTGTAATTTGTCCTCACAAAAGTCTTATGCTATTAACATTAGATGTTAAGCGTAAAACATCAGATAGAAATTTACTTTAATATATGACGAGACGAATTACTATGTGGGATTAATAAATCACATGTTTTTGTTACACAGATGAACTTTGCCGTCCTGTTGATATACGTAATAGGAGATCCATCCCGGTATCTTGACGCCACCACAGCATTCACGATAGTTTCCGTGGTCAACGTTATCCGGTTCGCAATAGCATTATCTCCCTTTGTTATAACTGCCGGTATACAGGTATTTTGACTTAGGTTAACTAGTAATCTTAACCTATATTAACACGGTTTATTGTGTACCGCACCAACACTTGATAGTTCAATCAAGAAGTATTGGCTTGAACGGGTGTACTATCTAAGTTGTTTCCTTTTTCTTACTAACATAACACTGTTTAATTAATATTAATAGACTTGAACGGATATATTTTCAAAGTTATTAATTTTCCGAGTTAACACAAAAAAAGTTGCTAAACACAATAATTGTCTTGAACGGGTTGGTTGTTTACGTCCTGATTTCCCTATTACATATATTAATATTTCCATAGTTCTGTTTCAAATATGACCGTGAATAATGAATATTATCAACATATAGATTAATTTTACATTTCCTGACACTGTTTCGATTGCTGTTGATTAGCCTAATTAAAGTACTGATTTCTTACTTTGACTGTTTCCAGACTCATGTTTCTGTCGGTCGTATCCAGAAATTTCTCTGGGAAGATGATTTAGAACCCGATGTTGTACATCGTGTCACAGACGGGGGTATGTGTACTGAAGAGTCCATGGTCAACCTATCATTAATCATGATTTCTGTGATAAATGTCTTTTTTAACAATTTGTACATTTCTCAAGTTAAAATAAAAGGTGAAATGTTAAATTTGATGGATATTCGACCCAAAAAAGCAAGCATATCTCACGGTGTCATTTGATTCAAACTCGCTTATTTATCGTATAATAATAGATAAATAAAAATATACGTGCCTTTGGAATATCAGAATGATATCAATTTTACTTATTTAGCATGGATAAAAAAATAAAAATAAATAAAACATGTTTGTGAAATATTCAGTGAGGTATAAGACCGTTCAGGCTCATTGACATATCTATCTGCGATATAATTCAAAAAACGAATGTCATCCATTGTTTTTTTTAGAAAATGCTCTGACTATCCGAAACGGCAGATTCACCTGGGATACTGAAGATCAAATCACCACGCTTAGAAAGTCTTTATAATCTTTTTTTTTATAACTGATATTTCATTTTAACTTATTATTATTTAAATGTTTGTGTTAAAACAATATAGGACTTATTTATAGCAAATCGAGAATGTCATTGCGATTTCGTATCCATTTAACTATATTCTCATGTAAGTAAATAATTCTTGGCGTCTTTTGTATTAAATTTGTTATCTGATATTGTGTGATTTTGTGTTAATATAATGATGTAGTTTTCTTGTATTAATTGCAAGTTATTCGTTCTATGTTCACTAAAAGCGTCATCATTATCTAGTTACCTGATAAAAGCATCTTCATCGCAAAAAGCTTCGTAATATTTATCATATTTCTGTGTTTTTCCATCACTTGCACACTCGTCTTTACATTCTTTATATGTCAGCATCAATCTCGAAATACCAAAGGGAAGTTTGGTGGCGGTGGTGGGAATAGTCGGTTCAGGCAAATCTTCGCTCATCTCGGCTGTATTAGGGGAGCTAGAAAGGCTTGAAGGGGAGACCACTCTAAAGGTAATGAAATAATTTAATGTTTACTCATTGAATGCAACATCGAATTGATCACTGTACAACTAGTACCATTTTTATAAATGTCTATACAATGTAAATCAAATACATATTTAATGTAAAAACGCCACCTGAAATCATTAAACCTCACCATTTTGTATTCCTTCCAATCCATTATAGTATCTATTAAAACTGTAAACAATTTATGCTATCTCACTTAATGACAAATCTAGCTAATAATGACAGATGTTTAAATTAGGTGTATTATATAACTGGCGATCCGTTCGTGACAATTAGGGAAATACCAATTCAATTGGGGAAAACATCAACAAGAAAATTAGATTAAGTACTAAAACTGTGAGCGCACTAAAATAAGTATGTTTAAAGTTTCATGTATATCTGAACATCAACTTGAAAGTTTTAGAACGATGCAGTCAAATGATCTTATACATAAAGTTATATATATATTGTTTTTGTATATCGTTACCAGTTATATATAAAAACATGTATGTTTGCTCTGAAACAAATTAAAACATAGACATCCTCAGGTGTAATCATCAGGTAGATATCATATATGTTATGTACCTAATGATGGCTGTCATCAGTGATAAATAGTGTATGGATCCTTTTGTTGTTTTCCTACTAGGGGTCGCTCGCGTACGTACCCCAGGAGGCATGGATACAGAATTTAACGTTAAGAGAAAATATACTGTTCGGAAAGACCTATCGCGAAAAGAAGTACCGCAAAGTGTTGGAAGCCTGTCAACTAATTCCTGACTTGCGGATACTGTCGGCCGGGGACCAAACTGAAATTGGGCAAAAGGTGATTAGAACGAAAAATATCATGAGTCATATTTATCTTTTAAATCATCGAATAACTGTATACACTTTCTGTCTCATCAATATCAACATTTTTTTTTTATACTGGAAAAAACTAGCGTGTCGAAATGTTCACGTTTTGACTCTTAAAACAGATCACAGTGTGGAAATTCGCGTTTTGGCAAAGATTCTTTAAAAGGATATGTTCAATTTATCTATAATCTTCATATACATGTTCGCGTGTGGATATTTTCGCGTTAATTCATCATCGCGATTGGCAAACATCATAAGTTCTGTGTTTTGAACAATATATTTCATATATGACTCTGGAAGACACGCGTTTTAACTTTAATACGACGAAACATATATATAAACTATTTTCTGAAAAATGAAATTAAGAGCAGCCAGTGCGTTCTGCAATACATATTTATTTTTTGTACCATTTCGAATAATTTTACAATTCTGTAAAATACATGACTTAAGAGACTCAAATTTTTCACAATAGTGACAATAATAATGATAGAGTTTAACTTGTCGAACCATTTACCTTATCATTTCTTATCAGACACAACAGACATGCATACGCTTAGTATAACGGCGGGTCAATAACTGTACCTTAGATTTCCTGTTGGACATCTTCTACTTACAGTAGATATCTGTGATTATTTTAAGAAATCTTTAAGATATCCTTGGTCGATAGTCTTGCAGCTTTCTGTCATGTGCCCTATCTTAACTTGCATCTCTCCAGTCTGGGTTATTTCATCCAGGAAACCCATTTCACAAGGGTAGCACAATATAACTACTCTAAATCTTTATAAAGTTTTAGATTATTGTGGACACCAGAAGTTTCATTATTTTGTGTTATGCAGGGTATCAACTTGAGTGGTGGTCAGAAGCAGCGGGTCAGTCTGGCTAGAGCGGTATACAACAATGCTGACGTCTACTTACTGGACGATCCTCTCAGTGCAGTGGACAGTCACGTGGGCAAAGCTTTGTTCCAAAAAGTTATCGGCAACGAAGGGATGCTGAAAAACAAGGTAAGACGCGATTGGTATACCGTCACAAGCATAGCTGCTAAAATAAAAATGTCTTTTCATTACGAATTTGCTGCTGAAAAACAAGGTATAACATGGCCTGCAAAATACGAGTAAATATTTAAGTTTGGACAAGAAAGCGATAGACTTTACAAATACAATATATGAAAAAAATAAACTGTTTTAAAATGGAGCTTATCATTTATAAAAATTTGTTATCTTTTGAATTAATTTCAGGATCAAATGTAATTTTTGATAATGTGATGATGAGATTGATAAAATTGTCTTTGGAAATAGCTGTATTATTGTTTTTTTAAACAAACGCATAACATTCGTTTTCAAGGAAACGGCCTAGATATAGTTTCCGGCTCTACTATAAAGTAAAAATGTAAAAACGTCACAATTAGAAGCAGGAGACTAATTCACAGATCAGGAAAACAAGTTGGTGAGAAAGCTTGACAAAATATGAGTCAACAAAAAAGTAATATTAGGTTTATTTACTCTTCGTTTATTGATTTGTTCAATGTATAGTCTAGTGGAGGACATATTTGAACATATCTAATACAATAAATTATTAACGTTAAAAAATTGTTTGTCACTGAAAATAAAGACGCTTACCTATCTAAAACCCTGGTTAAATTTCTCCTTTCTGTGAACTTAAGTTTCCTGACTTTGAGTTCACCTTACGATATTGTAGACATACGGCATTCTCTTGATGTGTTTTTTTCAACTAATGACGTCATTTCTAGACCCGTATCCTAGTGACCCATGGCGTCCACTGGCTTCCTAACGTGGACAGGATCATCGTCATGGACGGTGGTCAGATATCTGAGATAGGCACGTACGAGGAACTCCTACAACATAATGGACCTTTCGCTCACTTCTTACAAACTTTCCTCTTCAACGACAATGACAAAGACGATGAAGATACTGGAGGTATGTATCGTATATGAACTGCATTTCCAAAAGGAAAAATGCATTCTTTTCATATGCAACAAATCAATATGATCAGACGGTCCCATTCGCTTCTTGAGTAATTGTTTCTCGTTCTGCATTAATTATTCAATATCATGGCCAATGCATATATATTTATTAAAGAAGGATCGTGAAGTTGGGAAATATTTGATATAAATTGATATTACTATTACTCGTTGTCATAGAGTTTAAGCATCTTCATGAAACAGAACGTAGTAAAACGTCTTCGCTGGCTTATCATCAACAAACTTAAATTATTATATTTATTAATTTATGGTTGTGTTTGATGACATTTTATTTTATATCAGAAACAGGAGCAATCCGTCGAAAAAGGACATTATCTGGTAACTATTTGAAAGTAGTTAACATCCAATCATAAAATAAGTTCTTGTTTACTTCCCCTCATACTTGCTTTGTGTGCTTTAAACAGAGTGTATACCGGTAGAAACCCACACTTGAAAGAGGGCTTTTGCAGTTTGTGTTTTTATCAATTTGTTTTGTATTTGTTGACACGCATGTACTGATGACACGCATTATAACTGAACAAGCGGTGTCTAACACACGAACAGTATGTCATGTATATCCGGACGCAAATGTATTGCCAACAATATGTTAACCAGCGAAACATTGCTTCTTTGCTTGGACGAAAACGGACCATTTTTCAATTCAACGGTTTTCACGTTTTACCATCGATCGAATAAAAATAAGAACAAGAGGCCCATGGGCCTTAACGGTCACCTGAGTCCTACAATATTTATTTTTATTGTTGAAATATGTACCAATTTGATTAAAAAATAGTATAATGTTAACTTAACTTTGTCAGGACCATGAGCTGATCATTCCTAGACCAATTTTAAGTGAGATCGGCCTATTAGAACTTAGTAGCAAAATAGCGGCCATGGCAGCCAAATTGTATTTCTGATTGACCCGAAAAATAACAACACTTTGTCAGGACCATGAGGCGATCATTCCTACCAACTTTCAGTTCAATCGGTCCAGCAGAACTTGACTTTAAGTTTGAAATAGGTTTTCAAAATGGCGGCCGTGGCGGCCATATTGGATTTCTGATCGACCCGAAAAATAACAACACTTTGTCAGGACCATGAGGCGATCATTCCTACCAACTTTCAGTTCAATCGGTCCAGCAGAACTTGACTTTAAGTTTGAAATAGGTTTTCAAAATGGCGGCCGTGGCGGCCATATTGGATTTCTGATCGACCCGAAAAATAACAACACTTTGTCAGGACCATGAGGCGATCATTCCTACCAACTTTCAGTTCAATCGGTCCAGCAGAACTTGACTTTAAGTTTGAAATAGGTTTTCAAAATGGCGGCCGTGGCGGCCATATTGGATTTCTGATCGACCCGAAAAATAACAACACTTTGTCAGGACCATGAGGCGATCATTCCTACCAACTTTCAGTTCAATCGGTCCAGCAGAACTTGACTTTAAGTTTGAAATAGGTTTTCAAAATGGCGGCCGTGGCGGCCATATTGGATTTCTGATCGACCCGAAAAATAACAACACTTTGTCAGGACCATGAGGCGATCATTCCTACCAACTTTCAGTTCAATCGGCCCAGCAGAACTTGACTTTAAGTTTGAAATGTAAAATGTTAACGGACGACGGACGACGGACGACGGACGCCGACGGACGAAAACGGATAGCAATAGGTCACTTGAGCTAAAGCTCAGGTGACCTAAAAAGAGAAACTACTCATGGCGCCTGATTTATATATATTGTGTTTTCTTATTTATTGTTGACAGTTTAGAATCACTTGCTAGGCAGACTGTCGTCTGGGCAAAATATTTGCACGACTGTAACATGATAAAGTTAAAGTAACAATGAAGGTCTCTGTCTTTGTCTCTTTGTCTCTGTTTCTGTCTCTCTCTCTCTCTCTCATGTTTTAGTGTATTTGTATAAGGATGTGTTGGAGTGTGATGTCTGTGCTATACGTGTGTTCGTTTTCGTATGAACAATATATGTTTGTTGAAATTGATGTTTATGTAGAATTGTCATATAACGTATGTATGCGCTACAAGTGAGGAAGGAGAACAACACGAAGCCAACTGCTGTTAAAAGTCCCAGTAAAACATATACAGAATTATGTTATAAACGTTTATTTAAATTTACGTTAATTTCTCGTTAACAGTTTTTCTATTTAAATGACTATGTATAACCTCCAAAATATTTCGGTTAATTTCTTTTTTCTTATTTCAATACGAATGGACCTTGCAAGTAACATTAATTTATCCGCAAAGGCGACAGAAACTGTATGTTTATATAAGTGACGAATTGATAATGATTTTGAATAATTATAGTACAGGAAATGAAGGACAAGATGTGGGAACATGTCGAGGAGGTTATGTCTGATGGCCGGACTACATCAGATGATAACATCAGCGTAGAGGGGTTGTCTCGACGGCAAAGTGTCAGGTAGGTACATCAAGATAAGGGGTTGTCTCCGCAGCATAATAATTACGTCACTTTATTGCCAACAACTGCCTTATCCATGGTACAATAACAGGTCAGTACCAAACAAAATGAGATATTCTATACAACAAATTATTACCAATTGTTCGCCTTTCTTTCAGGAAAGTACCATCAAAAATGTTAACTCGGGCAGTTTCCCGTCAAATGTCGAGGTCATTTTCACGGTCACTAACCAGGTCAATGAAACAGACAGAAGACGTTGACCTAGGAAAGCTCATCACAAATGAATCCACAGAGGAAGGCGCGGTAAGTTTTTTTTTCATTTTTTTTTTAAAACTTATTTTCAAAATTTAACAGACTGGTTTAAATTTTGATTGTCTCGCATTTAATTTTATTTTGTGATATTACAATTTGTAGGTTTATAACTTAATTATCATTGTGGTTTTTTATCGATATTGTTTTTACATTTTCTATAATTAATATAAAAGACATATCACCTCATGTTGTAATTATAAGATTTAGTTTTATAGTCTTTTGGCGACTATTTTGTCATCGTCATGTCAGTTTAAAATTGTGTAAAAACATGTTTATTATAGTGTGAACTATTTTATCTGACGAACGTTGTTGGATTGATGTTTTTTATTTGATATATTTTTATAAATTGTATCGATATCATTGGCGAATTCCTACACATATGATTAGTTTTCGAAAACATATTGTAGTTCATTTCACATCATACATATAATGTGCATCGGCCTCAATTCGTTATATATCTCTTTGTTTATGTTTCTATCAGATCATCTATCGGCCTCGCCCGGTAATACTATCTTATTTAGGTTCATTTCACATCATGCATCGGCCTCAATTCGGGGTTTTTTAATGTTGCCATCAGGTCATTCATTGGCCTCGTGTGGTAATATCATCTTTATTTAGTTTCATTTCACATCATAGCCTGACCTCCCTTCGTTTAATATATACAATCCATACTTGTGGTGTTGTTGTTCTACCGTCCGTTAACATAAATAACATACGTCGATGATACTGTAGGTGAAGTGGTCGGTGTATATCGCCTACATGAAAGCAGCGGGTGTGTTCGCCACATTTTTTTCGCTGATGATGATGGTCGCATATCAAGGTCTGAGTATGTACTCAACGTTCTGGATCACTGATTGGACAACTGACGAGTACCTCGTCAACACGAGTAACCAAGGGGAGGACGAGTACATCAACAGAAATGTCTACTACCTCGTTGTTTATGGAGTAATCGGCATTGTGCAAGGTAAAACTGAGTGAAAACAACCCCGATATATTGATTTGAAAAGTTAACAAAATAAAGCAACTGCTTAATTGTCAAAAATCACTGTTATTCGACAAAAAACGATAAAACTAGGGCAGATAGTATAACATTGTATATGTAAAGGGGACCATTGAAAACGTAAAAAGATAATAAGGCCAGATGTACCGAAAGGGTTAGCGCTTTATGTTTCATCGACGACATATACCATGTTAAAGTAAGTCACATCCAGGTAAATGCATGTCCTTGTAATGAGAACTTGGCTAGCGACAACAAAACAGACATCAAACTACACTTTGAGAATATAATGTATCACAATCAACACACATTAACTCACTTTAGCGACTACATAAAAAGGATTTTTCACCAAATGATAATTTCATGAATATAACAGCTTCTTTAAAAGTTTTGTTTAACTGCAATATTTTTCTCGTGTACTTTATATCATGATCTATGTCTGTAGACTACAAGTTAATATTGTTTTTCTTACATTAATGTTGTTCATTCCAATCAAAGACAAATACATCCACCTTTCTTCTCAGGAATATGTCTTCAGCTGTTTGGCCTCGTTTCACTACTAAGAATTGTGCACGGAAATGGCCGCCTTCATGCACAGATGCTACACTGTACCTTCCGGTCGCCAATGTCATTTTTCGACACGACACCTATCGGTCGTATTATGAACCGGTTCTCCAGTGATATAGATGTCCTTGATGACCGTATGCCTAGGACCTACAGACTCATTAACATTGTAGTGTTCATTCTGATATCAACAGTCATTGTTATATGTATTGAGATACCAACCTTCCTCGTCGCTCTTGTCCCTGCAGGGGTTCTATTTGCAGTAGCCCTGGTAAGTAGCAGTTCTGATATTTTAGGATACCATATATAGTTTAGTAGGACGCAACCAGCTTGAAATGAATCGTTAAACACTTTCTGTATTTTTCAACATTTATGGAACAGCTTCTGTCATTGTATATCAGTCACTCTTGTTTGCTCGGATGATAGCGCGAAGCGAAGGGAGAGGAAACTCTTGTTCTGGGAAAATCACTTGTCTTCATACATATACTGATTATTTGCATATTACATGATTGTATGTTATGAATTGTTTCGTCTGCCAAAATTTTTTACTCATTATTTGATTATGTTATGAATTGAGTCGTTTGGGAAGCAAATCAAATTTGTTCTTTGCCTCTGCTAGGGATCGAAGCTGAGACCACTGGTTTAAAGAAATAGACTGTATATATATTTTAAAACTATCTTGAAACAAGTTTTGTTAACAGTAATCACATTTGTTGGCCCCGATGGTTATGTGAGGGGGTGTTAATGTTAAAGTACCCGGCGTTCTGGTAAAATTGATTTTCTTCATAACTTGTACTGATTATTTGCATATAATAATTTGAAATCGTTTCATCAGTATAATTTGTCAATATTTTTCAATGCTCCCGAATGGGATCGAACCCTGGACATGTAGTTAATAGTACGACGCATTACCGAAAAAGTCTCGCTGGTGGATTCTTCCTCTGTGACTCATTCGATCTCTGTATTTCTATTGTTTACATCTCATTTCTGTCTTCATAGATCTGCTACCTACCAACAACTCGTCAGCTGAAGAGGATTGAGTCAGTGACTCGTTCGCCGGTATACAATCACTTCAGTGAGACAATCACGGGCGCTAGTGTAATACGGGCGTACCAGGCATCCGAGCGTTTTATAGAGGAATCTCAGAAACGGGTAGACAAGAACGCCGTCTTCTACTATGCCGCTAATGTGTCGGCAAGGCGAGTAGTAGTTGGATATTATTAGTAAACACTACTGTCCCCTGCTAAACGTTCTGCATTTAGGATAGTAGCAACAACTGGTTTACCCATTGTCATTATAATGTGACCGGGCGGAATGCTGTGCTGAGTGCCTTCGGCATGGTATTTCAGTGGGATAGCCCTTTAAAGTCGGTATCAGATCAGTGCTATCACAAGGAGGCAAATACACCAACATACCATGCCAAAGGCACACATACACACATGCACGCATACACAAAACATATATGAAGGCACGTCCTTAAATGGCATTAGCTGTTGATAGGGCGGTAAACCCTTGACAACAAATTAACTGTTAGTACTAGTGATTTAGGGAATATACTAGTGTCTTTCTGAGACACTTATTTTGTCTCAGTAGGGTTTTTGTTGTATTCAGGTTTCCATATTATTGTACGATTTAAGACCCTCTGCACGTTTCCATCCTGTCCAACAAGACTGATTATCATTAGTTACAAAATCTCATCACATTTATTTTTTGTAAAAGAAATACAGATTGTATATATCTGATGCAAGGTTAAGGTTTTTGCAGGTTACAGAGTATTTGTTATACATAAAATGATCAGTAGAGTTTGTTTTCAGATTCATGTAGAAGGTTGTTAAATCTACGGATGTTTGTTGTGATAGTGTTGACTGATTATTAGTTGCATTAAATGAAAACTTCTCTTGTTGTGTTGTGTTTACTGTATATAAACGACTGCTTTATATTTTTAAACATACTTTTATTCAATAATAAATTTACCATACATCATGTTTCTGTACGTGCTCGAGACGTTTAGGGCAAGATGCTACCGAAATACATTCTTTCAAATCATACTTCTATTGAACAATACATTTTGCGTAAAATTGTCTTATTTATCATTCTCTACTAATTAAAAAGAAGGAAATGAGCGTAAACTTACTTATTTAAATGAATATCAAAGTTAAATGGAGCACTGGGTTATTCAAAAGTAGCAATGAGTGTAAAGTGTGAATATTATGAACCTATAGTGGTACCAATTCCCCGATTTTTTACTCTGAAGTGTCCTGTTTTAGGTGGATTAGCATCATTGTGGAGACTATCAGTAATATACTGGTGTTTGTGGCCGCCTTGTTTGCCATCAACTCCTCCGATATGAGCAGCGGGGACGTCGGCCTATCTCTCACTTACTCATTACAGGTAAAGACTCACGGAATTGTTTATTTCACATACTGTATACCCGAAAACTTCGTTCCGGTGTTATTTTCGCCCTTCACATTCAATTACCATGTTTATTATGCTGTTAACTTATATTCGCTGTAATGATAAATTCGTTCACAATGCACAGGGCGAAAATTTAACTGCAGCGAAAATTAAAGTCTTATTACGAATTAAGAATTTACATCATTTACATAATCGTATGTGCGAACATTCAACCTGTTCATTTGTAATTGAATAAAAATCTTCTATAAATACCTGAATGATGTTCCTTGATTTATATTAACTGGAAAACCACTGTATTTGTCTTAAAATTGTAGATAGTTGTGTCACTATCACTAGTGGTGTTTTCTGTCAGCGAGATGCAGATGAACATCGTGTCTGCGGAACGTGTGGTGGAGTACACGGATCTACCGGCAGAGGTTTGACAAACATACGTGTTCTTCATCCAAATACTTTTTCTATTCTCTATACCCATGGTACAAACCTTATACATGTTGTTGAAGTGATTGGATCTTGCATTTGGACGAAGGCATTTGTTCGTTCTGTGCTAAAATACACTTACGAAGTGCTGATTCACCGATAAAGAAGCCGTATTTCAGTTTCACAAATGTAATTTAAAAATATGAAACGACTAAATTTCGTCTCTGCCTTTGACAGGCTGAATGGATCAGACATTACTTCCGCCCTCCTCCTAAGTGGCCCAACTCCGGAACTGTCAAGTTCGAAGGGTTCACAACAAGGTACCGTCCTGGACTGGACCTCGTACTGAGGGGCATAGATTGTCAGATACTGAGTGGGGAAAAGGTAATAAAATACTTATCATACTAAATATTTGCATTGATAGTATGAGCGCGTAGTTGCCATATAAGAAACCAAGCAGCTGTACATGTACAGTTAAATTCATAATTATTGTTTATGGTCCGAGAAAATAATTGAATGTTTGCACCGTTTAAAAAATATTCGATTGTATATTATCTAAAAAAAAATCTCATTTTAAAAAGCCATAGACATTTGACAACAATCGGCATTGCATATTCAGAATCATGGGTGCTGATTGCGGTTTTAATACCAAGTTATTTTAATGTTATTTTTTTATCACATCAATAACACAAAACACATATCACATAAAAAAAATGAATTTTGTTCTAAGAAAATACGGAATGGGGTCGGGGGTAGACCCCCTATGATGGCTGTATGTAAGATTTTATGAACATGGATTACAGTTTGAACACGCCCTCATTAGCCAAACCAAGTTATATATTTTTGTTGTCACTGAATCGATATCAATGCGTACGTTTAAACGACCCATACCAAACATTTCATGTGGAGAAATATGTCACATTGTAGCATCAATATGGAACAGGTCAGAATTAAATATCATAACAATTTTAACCTGGTCTTTTAATATTCTATTACATCAAGTTAAACCAAATCAAACTAGCATGTGAAGATGCTATCACTTATCAGTTGTCCGAAGAAATAAAAGAAGGAAATACCTTTAAAACGGAGCTAAGGACACACCAAAATAAAAGCAGGCCCCAAGATCATTAAACGACCTTAAGTCTAAAACAATTTAAGATTTGACTTAATCGATCACAAATAATATCATGAAAAGTTACGTCATACGTGAATGGCTAAGCAAAAAAGTAAGTAGACGTTTGTTCCATGATCCTTGGGCAAGGATTTAACCATACACGTGTTTAATCTTATAACAAGCAAACTATGTTTACGTGGATTTCATTTGAATTTTAGATTGGAATAGTAGGGAGGACTGGAGCCGGGAAGTCATCTCTGACTGTCGCCTTATTCCGACTTATTGAGTCTGCATCTGGTGCGATTTCCATAGACGGGCTACGAACATCTGACCTTGGTCTCCATGATCTAAGATCAAACATCACTATACTACCACAGGTGATTTTAATGTATTTGCTATGAAACAACCATACATCTCCAGCACACGAGCAGGTATAAACACGTAGGGAGATATTGGTCAGGTGACATAGGAATAGAAGTTAGCACCTGTTAAGGCAGCTCCTGCGAAGTCCTCAAAATTGTATTGATCTATGTACTGTAAAGCGTTTTAGAGTGGCATATTCTAGCTAGATATGGCGCTATTTCAAATTTGTATATTATTATCATGTTATGTGAAATCCAGGCACGATAAAGGAGTTTGGAGATATATTGAGGGGCGGGTATGATGACATTTTTTTGGAAATTAACAAAGGAGACCTTGAAATACGGTTGCAAGTTTGCAAATGAATGAGGTTTCAATGTATATAATGGACAGGGACTCTCGCGAATATTGCACGACGAAATTTAAGTAGAAAAGGAAAGGAAAAACGCCGCCACTTTTGCCTTTCATCCTGTATTCAAGTCTCACTATATGATGCTAGTGACGATACAATGGGTGTTCGTGTAAGAAAACGCAAGTCATGTGTTCTTACACTGAAATAGCACAAGATGTGATAAAAGATTTGTACATTAAATGACAATGCAATGACGTCAGACTTTCATATTATATTATGATGCCGTAAAGGAGGTTATAGCTTAATAGTGAAGACGGTGAAATCAAAACTTCAAAGATGACAGGAAAATTCGCAATATTTGCAAAATGTCTTAATCAATTTCTGAGACATCTTTCTTTAAAAAACACATATTTTCCACTTCACGAGATTGATGAAATCACGACGCGTTTCATTAAAGCTTACCAGGGGCTCGTTGAACAAATTCAAATACTTAGAATACTTTAGAACTCATATGAGGTACTTTATATATAAATGCAAATTATACTGATGTAATGGATGTGGAGGGGACAAGGGTGGTTAATTATTACTTGCATCAAACATCGTGGAAACAATTTTTCGACGAAAAAGCTAAACCACGAAATATATTGCAAATTAACCCAGCCTTCCCGTAGCCTCTTGCGCAATGGCTACTAGAAAAAGGATGACCCAAGAAAATTTAGCAAATTCGCAAATCCGCGACCACGAAAAAGGTTGTACAGTATTCAGATAAAAGCATAAAATCCCCGAACGACTTTAACAGGCTTAATCTAAAAGCACTTGATGTCCTTTGTATGATGATACGGTTTGATGATGGAAGTTTTAATCACACCTCGATATCTGCCTTGTATCAGTACTATCAGTACAACTGTATGATTGGGAGGACAGATAATGGTACACGTACGTAGGTTTATACGGGATTGAGAAAAATATATCCTTCCATAGAAAATATGATGTATCACCGAAAAAATACTAATTAAATTGTAACAACAAACCAATATAATCTTTATATGATGAAGCAAATTAAAATATTTTTTATTATTTTATGTGGCAAACACTTTTTTTGTCATAAAGTTATTGACTTAAGTTTTGAATTTTGTAAACAGTTCGACGATTTCGATACAATGGCCTCTAAACTTTTTAAACATAAATCCTAGTTTAAAAGTATCAGAATTACTGAACGATATCGTATTTATTGTTTTGAAGGATCCTGTGCTATTTTCCGGGCCATTAAAAGCCAACCTTGACCCGCTGGAAAGATTTACAGATAATGAAATATGGAAAGCGTTGGAGTCCGCCCATATGAAGTCATTTGTTAAGAATCAACGAGATCAGCTCTATTATGAATGTGGAGAAGGCGGGATGAATTTGAGGTAATTATTTAGATTATAAGCTTCCATAAATCCAGGTTGAATCTTAATAAACAGAAAAAGTGATTCGAATAACTTAAATACATCGACATTATGTTAATTCCAATGTCAGCTTATTTCATTGTTTTAGTATCTAAATAAAATAATTAAAGGTTTTCTTTTCTTATTCCTTTGTGGTATGAATGCGTTTCTCGTTCTAGAATTGGTCAGAGACAGCTGATTGTCTCGGGCGCTGATACTGATCCTATACCTACAAAACATATATCCAAGGATGGACCTCCGAGATGTGCTTTAACTATATATCTTTATAATTTTGATGACATCATGTGTCCTTTCTTGAAATACGTGTGCAAACCTAACGATGTTGTGTATATATACGTTTTAGTGTAGGTCAGAGACAGCTGGTGTGTCTCGGTCGAGCCTTGCTCCACAAAAACAAAATCCTAATCCTGGACGAGGCTACCGCCGCTGTTGATATGGAGACTGACGAACTCATACAACAGACGATACAGAGCGAGTTCGAGGAATGCACTGTACTTACCATCGCCCATAGACTTAACACTATCATGGATTACCATAGGTATGTCACATACAGAGTAATTAAAACTGTCATTGAAAAGTACATCGCCATTAGATTTAACATAATTAGGATAGGTATGCTAAAATGTAGTAAGTTACACCAAAATTAATACGTGCATATTACATTCTTAGCAATCAACGCTGTCATGGAAAAATACATCGCCAATAGGCTTAACACTATACAAAATTACAATAGGTATTTTAAATGTAGTAATTAAAAAAAAATCTGTAATTAACACTTTTTAGCAACCATTGCATAATAATGGTGTATATAACACATGTATATGGTAATCAGCAGTGTCAGTGTCAGTCACTCTTTTGTTTACAGTTTTTGCAACATCGAACCACAGATTAACAATGTAAACTGCACAGTCAGTTTTAGTTCAAGATCAAGTTCATATGTATCTTAATTATGTAATTAGTAATTTTTTGATAAAATAAATCCAACTGTGATTTCCCTAATTTTGCATGTGTTTCATTCCCTATATCAAGCATTTGTCTTGAAGAACCCTATCAACAATATTTCATTACAGGGTAATGGTTCTGGATAAAGGTCTCATCGCGGAATTCGACACCCCACGAACACTGATTCAGGATACAAGTAGTGTGTTTTACGGAATGGCAAAAGATGCGGAAATAACAGACTGGTTTGAAAATGACAAATATAACAAGAAGATGTGAATATGATTAACATATGAGACACAAATGCATACAAGAAGTGACATTATTTCAAATTATTTTGTAACATTTATTTTCATTACATTCAGTCTGCAAACTTTTATCTTGTATTCAAATAATTACATTTTATTTTCATTCATAAATGCACCACATCAACTCCAGTCCGTCCGTACCTCCGACGATCAGTGCTAGTCAACCCGTACCAAGAATGCAGTTGTTCCATACCAAAATGTAATATCTGTACATATCCAACAAGCAATAAATAAAGCTCACAGCATCGTAGGTGTCATAAGGAGATCATTTGTATATCAGGACAAAGAATTTTCACAAATCTTTTTAAAACGCTTGTTCCACCTCATTTAGAGTACGTTGGTTGGTGTCCTCACAAAATTAAGATCAAAAGGATGGTGAACCTCATAGAAGACCTACAAAATCACTCCCCGGTTGTAAGACCATTAGCTACAGCGAGAGACAACTCTACCATACTAGCGCTTGCGCGGAGATGTGATCAACGTGTTCAAGTTTACAAATGGGCTTTATGATCCGAATTTGGTGGAGATATTGTTCGATCTCGCCACTCAAGGAAAAACTCGTGGTCACAGTAAAAAAAATACTCAAACAACATTGTCATTTAAATAATCAGAAAACATAACTTTACTCAAAGAATAATTGATATGAGGAATAGTCTTTCACAGGTATTTAGCAGAATAAACAACAGACGATTTCCAAAGGGGAAAAAGATAAAAACATAGAACAAACGTCATTCTAAATCCCAATATCTTTCGCCTTTGAAGAAGGCATGGAGGCCGAAATATTAGGACTAAGAGTGACATTTGTTCTATATATTTAGCATACGTTTGTGAGATCTATATATTGTACGGATACATCACTGCATTTGGAACGGAATAAATAAAATTCTTAATATCTTAATGTATTTCTGCTAAATTCGACTTCAATTATATATTAATCGTAATATAAAGGACTTCAACAAGTTCAATTAAAAAAAAAGAAAAAAGGAAAAAACTATAGGGGTGAAATTATGGACCTAAAGTCACCTAAGCCCTGTTAAGACTTCATTTCACTGATATTGCCATTTTGGTACTGTTTTTGTAAATGACAGCACCAAATGAGACAGCAAAATATATGAATACATAATTAACAATGAAAGGTACATAATCTTTAGATGGGAAACACTTCTCTTCTATACCATTAGAAAGATTGCAGTTTACCTTAAATTCAACATTCAGTCTTCATTAAATGCATACAATCAATCAATATTCCTTAAGTTTTCAATCATTATGTGCAATCAAGACAATCATAATATACAAGAAAACTGGTATATTGCAGTATACAGGAATATTGTATTTATAATACTAAAATAAAATATGGTTGTATTGCACTATATTTAACACGTATTTTTATGTTAAGTGTTTTAATTTTAAAAATTACTACATAATGGATATGCTGACAACCAGCCACGTAGCTGCATTGTGAGCAAATGATCAAATGCACTTTTTTGGATTTGCAGTTTTTCTTTTTGCTTGGTCAATCAATCCTTATGATCGTGTTTATGAGTTATAGAGTTATTAATCTGCCACAAATCTGACAAAATGTTCAAAGTGATTTTTTCGTAAAGTGAAGAACTGTTTCTGAAACATGTTCTGAAATAGCAGATGCCTTTAGATAGCATGAGCTCCTTTTTACCAGTTAGTTATTAAACAGTACTTTCAGTATCTAAGTCCGTGGTTATAACAAGAGGCCTGTATCGCTCACCTGGATATCTAAGCAATCATGGCAAAATATTATCCTATAGAGATCCAAGGGAATATGTAATTCGTCTCTTTTTGCCCAGCATTTGTATTTATAGTTTTGGGTTGGGGATGTCAACCGTTTCAAAGTTATGACTCAAGGGTTAAGTCTGCAAAGGTGGGGCAGACCCTGGGATCAATTCTAATATCATGACTGCATTAGTCTCTTTATGCCCAACAATTGTATATATAGTTTTGGGGAGGGGATCTCAACCGTTTAAAAGTTATGACCCAGGGACTATGCCTCCAAGGGTGGGGCCAGACCCTAGGGCCATCCTGGAAGCAACTGTGCATTCTTCTCTTTATACTCAGCAATTGTATATATGGTTATACGGTGGGGATCTCAACCATTTCCAAGTAATACATTTGTTTGGCCCCATCCCTTAACCCGAGAGGTCAGCAACACCATTTGTACAATTTTGAATCCCCACCACCTAGGGATGCTTCCAGTCAAGTATGGTTGATATCCATCTCTTAATTCCAGAGATGAAGTCACTTAAAGCAATATAGCCAAATTGCCCCCTTTTGACCCTGCATCTCAGCCCCCTGCGGAGTCAGCCCCACCATTTGTACAATTTTGATTCCCCACCAACTAGGGATGCTTCCAAATAAATATGGTTGATATCCATCTCTTAGTTCCAGAGAAGAAGTCGCTTAACGCAATTTAGCCAAATTGCCTGCTTTTGGCCCTGCCTCTCAGCCCCTTGCGGGGTCAGCCCCACCATTTGTACAATTTTAAATCCCCACCACCTCGGGATGCTTCCAGTCAAATATGATTGATATCCATCTCTTAGTTCCAGAGAAGAGGTCGCTTAAAGCAATACAGCCAAATTTCCCCCTTTACGCACCGCCCCTCAGCACCCTGGGGGTCGCCCCACCATTTGTACAATTTTGAATCCTTACCACATAGGGATGCTTCCATTCAAATTAAGTTAAATTCCGATCAGTCGTTAAGAAGAAGAAGTCGTTCAAATAAATTGTTGACGTACAGATGACGGAAGCCACAGTATGACATAAGCTCACCTTGGTCCTTCGGACCCGGTGAGCTTAAAATGTGCATGTCCATCATATAGAGTCCGGCTACGAACCATATACAGTCAATGCAAGTACTCAGAAATCAGATATTTTTGTGGGGCTCAAATTTCCTGGTTTCCCACCAAAAAAAATTAATCGTGGGTACATGAATTTGTGGATTACGAGTCCCAACTCAAATGGAGAAATGCTTTTTATCAAACTTGCGATTAGATCGTAAACCTGTGAATTCGTGGATGAAGATAACCCATAAAATCAACATATTAACAAAACCCACGAAAATTAGTGATTTCACAGTATATGCCAAAGACATCGGAATGGATGAAATATAAGAAACAAATATTCCAACTTTGTGACTAGGATTTCAAACGCGATACCACAGAATCTGGATAATCAAATGTTTTGAAAGAAATTAAAGCTGGTCTAAAAATATGTCTTGTATTCCAGAAAGGCACTACATTATTCCTGTCGGCCTAGATATGTTGGATATATTATAAAGGTTCATGTCATATTTCATAGTTTATTATTGCAACATTTTGACAAAACATAATTTAAATTTCGTTTAAAAACCTACATTTACATTTGCTCTGCATCCTTCCATTGCAATGCATCGGGATGGCAAATGTTGTTATGAGACTATAACAACACTTTCTCTTGTGACGTCATCAATTTCATTGTTGTCGAGGCTTAATTTGCTATTCAAAGAACTGTACGAAATAACTAATTAACTATACTCGATCATAATGAATATTTTAGCAATGAATAATTTTAGCACATATTGTTATGGTCCTATAACACACATTTATATTGCTGACACTCTGATATAAAGGGCTTTATTCAGTGTGTCATCAATGGCAATGTGTGTTATAGGACCATAACAACATTTGCTAAAACATTCATTGCTTAAGTATAACAGTATGTTTCCATGCTACAGAAGACGGCATTGAAAACATACTATTTAAAGCTCACTGTCTAAATGTCTTTGAAAATAAGACTAATTTGAAAACAGACCGCTTCCAAAATAACCATATGGATATTCCTTACTAAAAATTGGATATTTACTGTGACTTACTGAGAATTGGCATTTCAAAAGTAAACAACATTTCAGATCTATAATTTTGAAAGTTGAATGTAACATTAGTGGCAGATATTGATGTACAATGGATTACAGATGACTCAAATTAGCTGGAGTTTCCCTTTAGCTCGGTGGTAGATTCTGGGACCACGGGTTTGATCCCCATCGGAGGCACAATTCTCTCTTTCCAATCACAAATGGTGTCCGTGGCCCTTCCTGTGGTGACGGAATGTTAGAACTAGGGTGGTGGTGTTCAAGGCTAAATGCATTTGAAGAGGAGGGAGTAGTTTGACAGATTTTAATTGTACATAGGAGAACGGTACCCTTCTAGCTTTGATCAGGAGCTAGAGGGAATTTCCCTTTCGCTCAATCGTAAAAAGTCCGACCCAATTGCAAGGAAGTCTGGAATTGCCGGTTAAATCCCTGGTGGAGGCACACTACTCTCTTTCCTGCTACATATTATTAACAGTGGGAAATATCAAAAACAAGGCAAACAGAAAATCAAGTTCTTAAAAAATGTGTTACTCTTAAAAGTACGTATTCTTTTGGAAAAAGTGATGTTCCTCTATCTTGATAAGAACCTTTTAAAATCCCATCTTGCTGTGTGATCAGATGACACTGAATAATAAAATGCTCCTTTTTTTCGGATATATTAATATATTAATATATATTAATTACATTATCACACACAGCGTACAATAAAGGTTTTTGGGCGACGTTACGTCAAGGACTGGGTCATAGAGGTTTGCGTACCACAAAGAAGACACTGTTATACTGATATTGGAACATACTGTCCACACTCTGTGTGTATGAGGATTTTATATCCATTTCTTCTTTCTGTCAAGGAAGACAAAAAAACAAAAACATGAAAGAACATTAACAAATTATGATATACATACAATGGGTAAGGTTTGTTTGTGTTTTTTGTCGTATTTATAGCTATGGTCATTTGAGGACATGCCATCTTTTGGTGGCCTTCATTAGATCTATGTAAGTTTGATATTTTCTCTAATTTTCTGTTGGATCGGATATTGATATAGTTATGTCAACAGTAAATCAGCATAATGTAGTGACTTCTGATTAAAGTTCATAACACTAGATTTGACAGTGTCCTTTCACAGTTACAATATATTGGAACAATTTAACAAACAGAATTTCTAGTTTTACATTTTTCAGCTATAGTTTCCCTCTGATCGAGCAGAGTGAAAGTAAAGAAATGTGCATAATAACGAACAGAAGTATCTTACTTATACAAGGAAAATTTGATAAAGATCTATCGAGTACTTCTGGAGAAATGCTGAAAACAAACTTAAACTGTCAAAATTCAAGATGGTTGCCAGTCAGCCATCTTGTTTTTCTTATCAGTCTCAAAATTGTTATAGATGGATTGACAATGGGCAATGGCCGAAGGGCAGTTAAAACAGTTCCACCATCTGATGATGATGATGATGATGATGAGTTAAAAACATTGCAGACAAAGATTTTGTTGGGTATAGAAAAATCACTTTCATATCAAGAATCACACATTAAGGATCCCTGTTCCTCTGCACTGTGAATTTTCATAAATACAGTAACCTCCCCTTAACTTCCTTCGATTATATTGCAGCACAGTTTGGCCCGAACACTCCTGTTGACTAGGTAGTTCAATCAGTTGGAGTAATAGTATAACAATCTGAAGTCCAAGGGTCAAATCCTGTTCTGGATCTGTTAAATTTTTACACATAAAACACTGTTGTTGATATGTATTTTGTTTATTCCATTTCTATTAATTTTCATAAAAGTCCTGCAAAGTTTGGTTTTCTTTTCAGAAATGATTTATTGAAGCTAAAGCAATGCCCCAAAAAACTGTTTCCAACACTTAGATCAAGTTTTGGCAGTGATATGGGAATCCTTCACCGGATATTCAGTTAACACATATATTTCTATTATTAACTCATCCAACCCTGAAATTTCATAATGAACTTTTCCGACCTTTGAATTGGAAGGGTTCAAATTTGACTTCAGGGGTGAATGAGTTAAAAAAAACTGTCAACATATTTTCAATCTTCGATACTCCAGGGTTTATGCTCACTTTCTCTCTCTGCACCCCTGGAATATGTCAAAGCATAATTGAGGGCATGCAGCTAGCTATTTGATTGGTCTCAGGTAAAATAACCTGACCAATCACTAGGCTGATGCCTGTCTTTTGAAGATTACAGAGGAGGACACCTGACTTCAAAGCCAGACAAATTTACAGTTGACTCATTCACACCTAAAATACCATAATGAACTGTTCCATCCTTTGAATTGGAAGAGTTCAAATGTGTCGCCAGGGGTGAATGAGTTAAGCAATCATGGGATCCCTTTGATATACATCAAAGAATCAAACAAATATTCTTGTCTCATCAACAATGTGGTGCTCATGCACTGAGCCTTCTTTTTTGCTGTGACATATTTCAGGATACAGAGAGCAAAAATGAGCCTTATCCTTTGAACATTGACAAAGGATATGTTCAACTTACTTCAAACTGAAATCCCACTTCTATTATAACTTTCTTGACTTGTTCGTAACTTAATTCTATGGAGTTCTCATCTGCCATTTCTGCGTAGTGGTAGAGTAACGGACCTGAAACCAAGGGAAGTAACTCAAGCTCATACACAAATGCAGACATAGCATTGTTTTAATGAAGTAGGGTTTTCAATTTTAAAAACAAAACTGACAGCGAAATATTTATTCTGTTCAACAACTTAACAAGCAATAGCAACAAACTGTTGTGAAAAACTTATCATTAACTTGTGAAAAAACAGAACTGTGATAATTAAAAAATGTCTGATTGTATTTTTAATGTTAAAATGGAACATCTATTTTTTTTTTAAATTTACAAAATGTGGTGGAATATAAGAGGGTTGTCTCCAGTCTTTATCTTGGTCGACCAAGTGTACTTAGCCCCATGTCCATATTAATGTCAGCCCATCAGCCAATGTCAATTGAGGTTGAACTAGTATCCCCTGTCCATACCAATGTTTACCAAGAAGACCCCTGTCCATACCAAGATTTACCCAGTATCCCCCTGTCCAAACCAAGGTTGACCCAGTAGCCTCCTGTCAATACCAAGGTTGACCTTGTATCTCCCTGTCCATACCAAGATAGACCCAGTATCCCCCTGTCCATACCAAGGTTGACCCAGTAGCCACCTGTCCATACCAAGGTTTACCCAGTAACGCCCTGTCCATACCAAGGTTGACCCACTAGCCCCCTGTCCATACCAATGTTTACCCAGTAGCCCCCTGTCCATACCTAGGTTTACCCAGTAACGCCCTGTCCATACCAATGTTTACCCAGTAGCCCCCTGTCCATACCCAGGTTTACCCAGAAGCCCCCTGTCCCTACCTAGGTTTACCCAGTAGCCCCCTGTCATACCAAGGTTGACCCACTAGCCCCCTGTCCCTACCAATGTTTACCCAGTAGCCCCCCGTCACTACCAATGTTTACCCAGTAGCCCCCTGTCAATACCAATGTTTACCCAGTAGCCCCCTTTCCATACCTAGGTTTACCCAGTAACGCCCTGTCCATACCAAGGTTGACCCACTAGCCCCTGTCCATACCAATGTTTACCCAGTAGCCCCCTGGCCATACCAAGGTTGACCCAGTAGCCCCCTGGCCCTACCAATGTTTACCCAGTAGCCCCCTGTCAATACCAATGTTTACCCAGTAGCCCCCTTTCCATACCTAGGTTTACCCAGTAACGCCCTGTCCATACCAAGGTTGACCCACTAGCCCCTGTCCATACCAATGTTTACCCAGTAGCCCCCTGTCCATACCAAGGTCGACCCACTAGCCCCTGTCCATACCAATGTTTACCCAGTAGCCCCCTGTCCCTATCCATGTTTACCCAGTAGCCCCCTGTCCATACCAAGGTTTACCCAGTAGCTCCCTGTCCATACCAAGGTTGACCCAGTAGCCCCCTTTCCATACCAAGGTTGACCCACTAGCCCCTGTCCATACCAATGTTTACCCAGTAGCCCCCTGGCCATACCAAGGTTGACCCAGTAGCCCCCTGGCCCTACCAATGTTTACCCAGTAGCCCCCTGTCCCTACCAATATGTACCCAGTAGCCCCCTGTCCATACCTAGGTTTAGCCAGTAACGCCCTGTCCATACCAATGTTTACCCAGTAGCCCCCTGTCCCTATCCATGTTTACCCAGTAGCCCCCTGTCCATACCAAGGTTGACCCACCAGCCCCCTGGCCCTACCAATGTTTACCCAGTAGCCCCCTGTCCCTACCAATGTTTACCCAGTAGCCCCCTGTCCATACCAATGTTTACCCAGTAGTCCCCTGAAATACCTAGGTTTACCCAGTAGCCCCCTGTCCCTACCAATATTTACCCAGTAGCCCCCTGTCCATACCTAGGTTTACCCAGTAGCCCCCTGGCTGTAGAATCTTCCAGATGGCCTCCACATAGGCTATCACATTGCGTGCTGTGTCCAGGAAGAAAACAGTTGCCACACAGTCCCATTCTTCTAAAACATACAATGTGAAAGCAATCTTCATCAACAAACATGAATATTTACTATTTTAAGGTTGTAAGACACATTGTTCTATCTGACCTCTTTCACAAAAGAGCTCTTACTTTTCACCAAATTTGAGGTTAAGGCCACCATTATTACTCAAATTGTTTGGGAGACTGTTTCGATAACCCATGATTGGTTGTTACTCCATAAATTACAGTCAAACAGTTGTGTTTCCAAACTTATTCAAGTTTTCATGAAAAGTGACCTCATCACCAAGTTTGAGGATAATACAGTAAGTATTGCTCTAGATACTGAGAAGACACGGTTCCCGTCACTTGATAAAGGGACATAACTCAAAAAATTAATTAATCAATAATGGCACTTATAAAACTTGTTTCCAGTCTATCGACAGGCATTACTGCTTACAATAATATTTCTTGATCAATTCTTTGATATTTATGAAATAATAAAAAAACAATCACTACTTCATAATAGTAAAAAAAGATAGGTTCCTATATTCTGCTTTATAACAAACTATGTCATCTCGCAACCAGCCAATATATTTCTCATCTTCAACCCTGGGGAGCAAACAGCCGGTGCTGCCATTTAGACACTCATAGCTAACATTCAACAAATCCATTACTGCCCAACCACATACTCATTTACAGCTGAGTAGACTGTAACAAGCAGAGTAAAGTATCTTGTTCAACGATGCAACACAGTGCCATGACAGGACTCGAACCCTCGACCTTCCAGTCACCAGTCAAGCACTAGACTACTATGCCTTCCTTCTTATTCAATTTGATTGATTTTTGTCATATATTTTATTTTTTTTATTTTGAGATAACGATACCTGATTCTCTGTATACTTCCAAGAAGTCTCCCGCTGCCATTGAGAAGTTTGAGTCCTCCGGTAGATCTCCGGGATTGATGTCGGGGAGATGTGCGGCCCTCGTCTGGTCCTCTGTGCGTTTGTTGTTACACCACTGGTGTACCCAGGGATAAAGGATCAAACTGTTCTCTTCCCGACATCTGTGAGGCAGAAGTTGTAGTTAATCTTTTCACCCCTATGCAACTTTAGCAGACTCTACCATGCATTGATCTAGGTGAGTCCGTTATGGTCTACAGTGACGAAAGGGTTAAATGAGGACCAGTCCAGAAACAACCATCTAACGGGCGGTATATACATTTTAATAATACTTTCAGTGACATTTTTTAAGCAACTGAAATACATGGTCAATTACAGCCAAAATGAAATTAAAGGGAGGCAACTACATATATTTATAAAAAAAATAATGGAATTCTCTGGTGTTTTTCCTGCAGTTAGACAGGGATCCTTAATTGGTGTTTTTTTGAAAATTTACCTTGCAGGGAAACATGCATATTGATACACCTATGAATTCCATTTCTACTTACAGGTATCATAACCATCTTTAGCGTATTTCTAAGCATTTTCTTCAGGTTGGTAAGTCTGGATTCTTGTAACACAACCAGTAAGTGTTTCTATGTGACATTTCGATGACTAGTACGGTATGTACTCTTTCACCTTCATCAGACAAATGACCAGCGTATTAAACAAAGTGTAGCTGAATCGAGTCATTTCGGTACATATATAACAACTATTTGTACACACGCTTACAGAGTAGCCGAATCGACATCGGTTTGTGGACAACTCGTGCATATTTTACACCTTTGTGTACATACCTACGCTTCACTCGTCATTTTTCTGATGAAAGTGACAGAGAACATACAGTACTAGTCATTGAAACATCACATAGAAACACTCATTGGTTGTGTTACAAGAATCTTTTCATAAACTTTCAGTCATATTTTTTAACCGATATAATATTTTCATACAAATATTTTGAAAAAATGTTCAGAAGGGAAAATAACTAACAAATTAGTGACGACCAATTAGTTTAAAATTTGTCACAGATAATTAAATATGTTAAAAAATATATCATTAAAGAAGGGAAAAAAAGATATGAAAAGAAGCAAATTTCACTGAATTAAAAGCACACCAAAACAAACGGGGAGTAGAAATAAAGCTTTTCATTGGAAAATATATTTGTTGTTTTTAAGCTACACACAAACCATACAATTTAAAAAGAGGTTGAAGTATTTTTTTGACTTTCTGTTCTACACCGACATATGGTCATTATATATATACCAATAATATGCCTAATCCAAAAACTAGCAAAATTTGGAATATCATGAAGATTCTCCTCTTGGATTGCTGATTTTTTAATAGAAAGAAAACAAAGGGTCGTCATGAATGTAGAAAAGTCGGAATGGAAACATGTAATAAGTGGCATACCACAAGGATCGGTTCTAGGACCTCTCTTATTTGTAATTTATATAAATGACAAGCCGGATGTAACAAGTCCCAGAACGAATACATTCCTTTTTTGCAGATGATACGAAAGCATTTAGGGCAATCAATGATGAACAACATTGTAAGATTGTAAGGATATATTTTCAATTTAAAAGTGGTCAAAGCTTTGGCATCTTCCTTTTCATCCTGACAAATGCAAAGCGATGCACGTGGGACACTCCATCCTCGATATCCAGGGGTTACGCTCACTTTCCCTCTCTACACCCCTGGAATATGTCATGGCAAAATTGAAGGCACGAAGATAGCTGTTTGATTGGTCTCAGGTAAAACGCTAGGCTGATACCTGTCTTTTGAAGATCACAAAGGAGAGACACCCGACTTCAAAGCCTCTCAACTTTTACCGTTACGTGACCGCAAGATTCTTTTGATGTATATCAAAGGATCAAACTAGTCTCCTTGTCTCAACAACAAGGTGGCGTACACACCGAACCTTCACTTTTGCTATGACATATTCCAGGGGTGGAGAGAGCGAAAGTGAGCGTAATCCCTGGATATCGAGGACAGAGTGTCCCACGCGCATATCGAGGATGGGGACACTCCAATGTTAATCAAATGAAGTACACACTTTAAAAGGAAAATGCAGAAGCTTTGGAATTTGTGCACTTCGAAAAAGACATCAGTGTCATCATAGACAATAAATTATCATTTGATAATATACACATAAATCTGAAAAAAGTAACTAAAGCTAAATCCATTATGGGAGTTCTACAAAGAACCATGGAATATATGAACTTGGAGAGTTTTAGGTCGCTACACACATCCTTAGTTAGACCACACATTGGATACGCGAATCAGATTTGGTGTCCTCATCTCGAAAAACACAATGAAACAATAGAAAATGTTCAATGTCGAGCGAGGAAACACTGGTACCTGGACTGAAAGACTTGTCCTATAAGGAGCGATTAGAAAAGCTAAAAATACCAACACTAGTGCATAGAAGATCACGTGGCGATGTGATCGAGGTTTACAAAATAATGTCTGGGAAATATGACCATGAAGTATCCAACATATCTAATATCTGGCATTGTTTTTGGTACCTAAATTTTACAACAGCCTGTTCCTTAATGAATTGGTAAACTACAGCATAATTTGTATTGAAATTGGGAAAATATTCCTAGGTTTTTGGTCATTTTGGGAAAATAAGTCACTTTTTATCTCGGGGAAACAGCCTGTATTTGGCAGTAAAACTACATGTGCAAACAAAATCAGTCAGGGAAAGTTCATCTACAGCATGGACACAACTTTGAAATTTACAAATCGCATTCAAGATTGAATATTCCAAAATTTTCCTTTACACAGAGAACTGTTGATTTATGGAACAATCTTCTGCAAATGTTGTGAATTCAAGCAAAAATTGAAATCTAAACTTCACAACCATTGAAATGTTTTTATTTCATTTTTTTTTTTTTTCAGAGCTGATGGTCAAAAGACTGTTATTGGCAGAGAGGATATGTATTTCGAGATAAGAATCTGCGGATTTGGAGGATGAGGTCTAGCTTACTTGTTGAGGATGAAGTTTGAGGCTAGTAACATGAACAGGCTCCATTCGTTTCCCTGACAGGTGAAGCCTAGCTTGGCTAACTCCAGTGCAAGCCTCCCCAGTCCAGCTCCAGGGATCAGCACTTTTACATCTGACCGCTTACTGTAACAAAAAAAATAAAAAATAAAAATTCAAATATACCTGAAAAAATCCTCAAAATGATTTCAAAATAAATTTCAAATAAAGCTTGAACATTGCAATTGTTTTGTTGTTTTATTTCCCCAATGATCTACATGTACCTGTGGAAAAAAATATTTTTGCCAATTCATGAAACAGTGGCTGAAATAAGCCCCAGAAATACCCATTACAATGTAAATGTACTTAAGTACTTTAGGTCAAGGTCAAAAGTTAATAGATCAGCAAGTAGTCACTTTGACCTCATTTAACTAGGCCTTTATACAAGTATATCATGCCCTTTCATTTAACAGTGGCTGGTGTATGCTCTGTGGTAATCATTATTTCAGTCCTGGAAGTCAAGGTCAAAAGCCATATAAAGTTCCATGTGACCTCATTTAACAACAGGAATATAAACTTTATTTATTTTACAACAATTATGAAACAAGTTAATTCAACTTATGTTAATCACTCTTGTCGGCCCGGATGTTAGCGCGTGAGGGGTCTTATTGTAGGAGGAAACCGGAGTACCCGGAGAAAACCCACGTGGTCGAGCAGGTGACCCCAACCTTTTCACGTCTGATCGGGGAATCGAACCCCGGCCACCATGGTAAAAGGCAAGTGTGCTATCAAGTGCACCATCCGCTGCACCACCCGACCATCTAACAGGAAACACTGCTTTCCCAGGATGTATCTATATAGTACAAAGTTTGATGCCTATTCATGTAACTGTGACTAGCTTTATTTTGCTGCCGTTAAACTGCACTTTCCCCTAGAGAAAAAGGTACCGAAATTCCCCTTTTTTCCCCTAAAATTCCCCTTTTTCTTCAAAACAACTATTTCAAAATCTTGATTACAAATGCGTTGTATTCTTTTCCTCATCAATACAAAACGATTCTCGAGCACCAAATTGAAAACATTGATCGTTCTTGTTTATTTCCCGGAGTAATCCATCATTGCTGGCAAGTTCAGAAGTCACCCGACCTACGCATGTGGAACATCGTGGAACAACGCAGAACATTGCATCCAGACATCATGTCGCACAAGGAGGGTTTTTACACGAAAAAAATAAGAGAGAAATATGCAAAAGGAAAACGTACTATACATGCAATGTTTGCCAAATAGGCAAAAGGTCAGACTGAGTCGGAAATTGATGCAGGTCCCCCCGACAGCAGTGAACATGCAACTATGTCGTCGAGTGCAGCGGCCCAGACGTAACGTCGGACAAAGTCTAAGACTCAGATCAGAACAAACTGTTCGAAGTTTTCATGAAGTTGTGAAAATAAAACTCTTTAGAATATCTTCAACATGATATACTGTCTTTGTTATTCTAAGAAATAACAGCTAGTACACATACATTATATAAACAAACATTGAGACAGTCCGGTTATGTATTTTTCACCTATTACGGAATAAAATTCCCCTTTTTTCCAAAAGGGCACTTTCCCCAAAAACCTAGATTAATCCCTGCTGAGATGTGTACTGGAAACCATTATATCAGTAATTGAGGTCAAGGTCAAAAGTAAAAGAAGCCACTGTGACCTTGTTTTAAATTGCAACAAACCATTTTCCTATGATGTAGCTATATACAAAGTTTGATGTCAGTACATGAAACAGTGGCTGAGGTGCATTCTAGAAACCATAGACAGATGGACAGACAGATTCAAATATATATTTGTTACATTTTTGCCAGTGAAATATTGGAATCTATCATCTTGATAAACTGATATCTTTCACAGTGTGAAAATATCACTTTTCGGTATTGACCAATCATAGCGTTATCTTATATTCGCTGCATTCAAAGACAACGATTTTTTGTTCAGATTCAAATGAAGCGACAGTAGAACAAGTGGTTGTTATGGTAAATAGTTGGTACATACACTTAAGTATTTACATTATTATACAATGTGTAACATTTTTATACGCAATCAAACCAGAAAATAGCAGAAAATGTCGGAATTGGGTTGAGTATCCCATTCAAATGGTGCGCACCCCTGCAAAATGTAATTCATTAACTCATGAACGTTCATGAACTGTTCATGAACGTTCACGAACTGTTTATGAATTGAAGGTGGACAGTTCATGAAATAGTTCATGAACTTAAAGTTCATGAATAGTTCATGAATAGTTCATGAAAAAGTTCATGAACAATTGATGGAAATTAATTGAACTTAAAAAGATTTAAAGTCGTAAAAATTGACGGTGGAAAGTTCATGAATAGTTCATGAATAGTTCATGAAAATACAGTTCATGAAAAAGTTCATGAACAATTGATTGAAATTAATTGAACTTAAAAAGATTTAAAGTTGTAAACTTCAAGTTCATGAACTGCCATTTAATGTTCATGGGACAGTTCATGAACTCTTCATGAATTTCGCACATGAACAATTCATGAATAGTTCATGAATGTTCATGAAATTTTCACAGGGGCAGCCTTGTTGTCAAGCATGACGTCATCAGAATATGGCGTTTATTATTACGCTTCTGATTCCTGCCCTTTTTTAATGTATTACATTTTTCATGATTTATGCTTTAAAAATGTAATAAATAGGAAATTTGATGGTGTCTTCAGTAATAACAAATATATTTCACGAGTGTGGCTAATATTTTGATAATTTTCAAGAGTGCGCAGACAAGTGTGGCTGATATTTTGATTTTTTCCTCTCGTGCTGCGCACTCGTGAAAAATATCAAAATATTAGCCACACTTGTGAAATATATTTGTTATTTCTGAAGACACAATTAAATATCCTCTATACCCTCAACTTATTAGGTCAATTCTAGTGGGTTATAAAAAGCAATCCAAAAACCTTAAATTCTGCTTTTTTTGGCCCATAGTATTGTGTTTGTCAAGTAAAATTCAAGCAGACATGAAAAAATCCTAATAGAGTGACATGTATAAGGGAACAAGCTTCTATTATCTCATTTAATTTCAGTTCAGACATTATCCGAGACCCATACTAATTAAGCTGTACAATTTAAGAAGAAAGGTATTAAAAAATAAAAATCACCTACCATAACTGAGGTGGAAACCTGCCTACGATCTCCTCTATAACAGGCCTGTAGCAGGCATCCCTCTCCTGTTGACCCTGGCTACTCCAATCTCGCACAAACTGTTTAAGGGTTGTTCTCACTTTGTCCATGTCAGCGGATGTGGGAAACGTCTGTTTAACATCTTCTTCTGACTGCAATGGGTTTTTTGACAAAAAAGTACTTTTTTATTGTGATTTTATTTCTTTCTGAAATAATGCTTTAATCTAATTAATGAAGACATAAATTTGAAAAAATAAAATATTGTACCAAGAAAGGGTGTAGTGTGCTTCCAACACAGATTGAACCTGCCACCAACCTCAAATTACAAGTCCACCACTTAACCGATTATGCTAAAGAAAAAATCCCTTTAGTGCAAAACTAGAAGGTGACTGTTATCCTATACAAAATTACAATATGGCACACTTCTCCCCCGTTTTTAAGTGTGTTAGCTCTCGAACACCACAACCCCAGGTTCTAACTCCCTGTCACCACAGGAAGGGCCATGTACTCCTTTTGTAACAACAAAGACAGAAGTGTAGTGTACATGTGTTTCCAACAAAGATCAAACCTGCTAACCCAGCTTCCCAGTCCACTGCAGGACTGATTAAACTAAAGGGAAATTCCTTCTAGAAGGAAGCTAGAAGGTGGCCGTAATCGTATACATGTAAAATTTAAATCTGCCACAATTATAAAGATGAGATACGAGATTATATGGACTGTATAGCCTGTATCTGTTGGGGGGAGTAAATCCAATATCACCAAATATTTATACTCAACAGTTTACCTTATATGAATACCAGTAACGCATTGTGTAATACCTGATATTATTCACTGAAGATAATAGTCTAGTAAATATCTCAAATTAAATATCCCTAGTGAAAGGGTTACTCTCTCAAGGATATTGAACAAGTCTGTTTACATCAAGGAGTTACTTCCCCATACCAATCATTATATCAATGTATATATATATATATGTCTGTGTTTTTCGACTTAAGGAGCGGACTTAGATAGGCTATGCCTGATGTCTGATCCTATTGACTATTGCTTATACATGTATTGTCAATAAAATTTGTTGAAATTGAAATTGAAAAGATGAAATACACATTTCTCGCACCTCAGACAGAGATATCCCACATCATACCCCATGCTAGATTTTCTATCACATCCGATCTGTCTTGCACCTTTACGTGACATTTCACGGAATTTTTTCACTGCGATGTATTCATCCGCACGTTAACTGCTTGAAATTGACAATCTGCATTATAAATGTTCTGTTTTGTTGTTATATGTATAGTTTTGACGTTGTTAGATATCTTATGTTGTAGATAAAATATAATCTACACTGTGAAATATGTTGTCATGCAAATGTAGCTTAAGTAGTGAAGAGGTCATTATCATTTGAGGCCCCAGGCGGGATACTTCAAGTTTTTAGCAAAACAAATACTTTTGATCGAACTAAAAGGTGCGAGAAAAAAAATCAATTACCTTTGACTGAGCAAGATTTGGTTATCTCAGTCTTGGGCTATATAAGATTCTGTAACATCCCAACCTCGGCTTACACCTCGGTTGGGATTTTGTTACAGAATCTTAACCCTTGACTGAGATAACCTGATCTCACTCAGTTACAGGTAATAGATTTTATTAGTATCGCTTTCATAGCAACACACCTAAACTGAAAAGCTCTAGACCAGTGGAACAGCTACAATTTATTAGTAAATTATGGCTATGATGCATGCTTATTATAACAAGTTAACGATTTTATGAAGGGCACCATTTTGCTAACACAGACAAAATAACTGGTAACTTACATTTTCTATGGTATCCTGTGTTTGATTTTCAAACATGTATTCTGCATCATGTAATATAAGTTTGATGATTTCATAGTTATGGTCCACACAGGTCCGGATGTTCTCAAGATTTTCAAGAAAGTCTGGCACCAGTTCCTTGTGTTTTTTGGATAAAGCTCTGTAGGAGATCTCCGAGTCATTGATCCGTCTGTGGGAGTGAGTTCTAAAAATGAGAGTATTAGACAAATTAGCAGGAGTTCTACAAATCAGGGCAGAGAGTTCATGAGGAATTCTACAAATATGTGAACAAATATTCACGAGGTTTTCTACAAATATGTGAAGACAGTTCATTAGGATTTCTACAAATATGTGAAGACAATTCACGAGGATTTCTACAAATATGTGAAGACAGTTCATGAGGATTTCTACAAATAGGTGAAGACAATTCATGAAGATTTCTACAAATATGTGAAGACAGTTCATGATCGTGAGGATTTCTACAAATATGTGAAGACAGATCATGAGGATTTCTACAAATATGTGAAATCAATTCACGAGGTTATCTACAAATATGTGAAGACAATTCACGAGGATTTCTACAAATATTTGAAGACAATTCATGAGGATTTCTACAAATAGGTGATGACAATTCATGAAGATTTCTACAAATATGTGAAGACAGTTCATGAGGATTTCTACAAATAGGTGAAGACAATTCATGAAGATTTCTACAAATATGTGCAGACAGTTCATGATCGTGAGGATTTCTACAAATATTTGAAGACAATTCATGAGGATTTCTACAAATCGGTGATGACAATTCACGAGGATTTCTACAAATAGGTGATGACAATTCACGAGGATTTCTACAAATATGTGAACAAATATTCACGAGGTTATCTACAAATATGTGAAGACAATTCATGAGGATTTCTACAAGAGAGGGGAGCAATATTTTTACAACTAAGGGGGGGGGGGGGGCAGTTCAGTAGTGTTTTAGCAAATATGGGGAGACAATCTAATATGATTTCTACAAGTAAGGGAGGGAGGATTTCTACAAATAAGGGGAGATAATTCAGTAGAAGTGACAATTTCATATGAGCAGAGCCAATTCAGTTGGAATTTTACAAATAAGGGCAGACAATCTAATATGATTTCTACAAGTAAGGGAGGGAGGAACAATTTAGGAGGATTTCTACAAATAAGGGGAGATAATTCAGACTTCTTCATCTATAAGCAGAGCCAATTCACTGGCAGATCCAGAAATAAATAAATCTAAAAATGAAAAGCAATAGTACCACAGGGGTGGAACAACAAATGTGTGTCCCATGCAAAACTGACATGATTAAAAATTCTTTTGGTGCATTCTAGTTTTAAAATAAAACTAGGCATATATGTCAAACTGACATTAAGGCCACCACTGTCTTCTCTGTAATTAGTTAAATACAGTATCATTGTAATACTCGTATATTGGTAAATAATTCATCAATAATATATCTATAATTTAAAATATCTTAATTAAAACAATGTGTTTTATTATTCCTCATCTATTTTTACGTGTCTGATTGGTTTAGACACATCACATGATATTTTCCCTGTCGAGTATCCATCTCTGTTAGACTTTCTAACGCCCAATGTGTTCCGGACGACATCCAAACATCAACAACGGCTGCGAATGGGAGATCACACCTCCCAACAGCTGAAGAACTTGAAGGGCTATAATTGCTGTTCAATTTGATGTAAAATCAAAACACTGACAGTGATAGGTATTTGTAGTATATATATATGCTACCAGACCTAATGAAATAAGGGCGAACAGTTCAGTGACAACAACACAGGGGATCGTTGCATTGCCTAACGTTGATGTATTTTTGTTATATGTATATAACACAGACGCCACAGATGGAATTTCAGAATTATATAACAGTTATTGCCCTGGTGTGAGGGAGACCTGAAGAGTTGTTCTCCCTCGACAAATCAGGTTTCCCTTGGGCTTCGCCCTCGGGAAACATGATTTATCTTGGGGAAACAACTCTTCAGGTCTCCCTCACACCAGGGCAATAAGTGTATAATTTAAAGTTTGAAATATCTATTTGTACTTCTATCCCAATATATAACTAAAGATTAATTATCAGCATCAAATAGAAAAAAAAAGCATTAACTAGAGGTATCACATTGTTACCAATGAAATATCAGAAGTTACCAGTGTGATAAAATCGTCAAAGCAGTGTATCTGAGATTCTTCTTTACATAAATTGGTAGCAGAACTGGAGTGGGACGATTGTTGGCGACCAGGTAGTACTTATATTAATACCCGGCCTCCTCTGCCCCGGCCGGGTATTAAATCGATCCCATGCTTTATCTAATCTATCCCCCTCTTCTACTCTTTACTCCATACTTTATCCCTTCTACTCTTTTTCCTTTCTGTTATTCGTCTGCTGGATAACCCATACATCTGGTAGTTAAGCGGACGTAAAACCTATCAATCAATCAATCAATCAATTGTAATGGAGCAAGCCCGGTGTGAATCACACACCTGGGGCGTCGTCAGAAAGCTACGTTATCGCAGCTAGAGACCAGGTAGTCCCATCAGTAGAGTGCACATCCATCTTGAGTTCAGAGGGTCCCGAGTTTGAGCCCCTGTTTGACAATGCATTTTTCTTTTGCTGTTACAGTGGTGACTCACTGTGATCAACACTCATTCAAACATTGAGTGTGCGCTTGACAAGGAGATATCCAAACTTGGGTTGTAAATGATGTCTATAGGGGCAAAGACATAGAAATAGGAGGGAGGAATGTAGCCGAACTGGTCGATTATCGGAGAACATGTACCTCTATTGGTAGAGCATCTTCGCTAGCCAAGGGTTATGATCTCAGCCACAGGATAGGTATGTGTATTTCAGACGTTTGTAACGAACCCCTGTGATGCAACACGATAACTGTCAGTCGCCCGATAATTATTTTAACACTGAGTCTAATGAACACTTTAACACACCAAACATCGATATGTATCAGATTGCTCGATGTTTCTTTTCCGACTTGACACATGACATTACCTGTAAAACTTGAAGGCATTACAAACACGGAGGAAATGTTCTTTCTCAAGCTGATCATCTATGTTCTGCGAGCTATTGTCCGCCATCTTGAAAGAATACTTCCGGTATGGCTAAATATATATATATCCCACAAGGACAACTTCTGTAGGAAAGTTCAGCGAAAACGACCTTGCAGCGTACTTTGATTTAAACATATTTTATTGCAAATAAATATTTACAAAATAATAGGACACAAGTTTTCACAACTTATCAAAGTCCCTTTCTTCAAATACATGAATATAAACAATAACTTGATAAGGTAATTTACGCAATATACATAAACTATGTTTTTATATATGGAAATGGAAAATAGAGAGGAAGAAAAGAAGGAGAGAGAAACGAAGTAAAGGATAGTAACACAGGTAGAGTCGATGAAAAAAGAGTGATAGAGAGAGAAAGATGATCACATTCAGCCAAACCAGTTGCATTTGCTGTTATAATTTTGAACAGATTTTGCAATTGAGGTATTTTCATCATTGCTGAATTTAGGATCGCCATATAAGGGGAAGTCTAAATTAAGTTAAATCATCACAAGAAGACTGCCCTGATGTCAGAAGAAGAAGACGGATTATCATAGTAAAGAAAATGTTTACATTATTGATATACGACTGTTGTAAAAACAAATATGTTGTAAATAACCAACATTTGGCATTGACTTCAAAAATATTTAGAAAATCAGCAGGGTATGTTTTGAAAGTTTACAGTGAAAACAGCCTATGGCAGCCCTCCACGCACCAACATCATTACCTACTAAAACATAAGGAGGGTATAGATTAGATTTTAGGGGCGCGAGAAGGCCTTTCATATACGGGCAGTTTAATACAGTGCAGTTGGGGATGACTGGATGGGAGTGTAGAAAAGGGAAAGAAAATGGGGTAGACAAGGCAGCGGATGAGGGTAGGTAGGGAAAGCAAAGAGAAAGAAAAGGGGGAAACGTTTGAATATATATTGGGTACATGATAGTACATGTATCTTCATTGGGAAGATGAAGTACATGTGTTGATTCCCAAATATCAACAGATAGGTTCTGATATGGGATTGGATCTATAGGCGTGGATCAGGGTGATTTTTACAGTACTAAAGTGTACATATAACAGATTGAAATGTGTAGATAACTGGGTTTTGGAACAATTTATTAATATTTTTACAAATATAAATGATAATAGTAAGATGGCATATAGTGTAATAACTGTAATTATCCCGCCTCAGGCAAAAACCCTGTAGTCCTATTGGTTAAAACGACGTCACTTGATATCCAGTATATTTTCATATTAGGTCAGTAGAATCTCACATTAGGTGAGTACGAAAGAGTTATCGTTCTTTGCCCATAAGAGTCAACTTGTAACAAGATGGCGACCAAGCGGTTTGTGAAGACGACAGCCGATGAAATGTTAACAAAAATGTTAACAAACAGGTTTTTTTTATCCAAAGGGCCTTCGACGGGATAAATTCGTTACACAGTTTGTTAGTGACCTAATACGGAAAAATATTGGGTCTAAAAGAAACTTGTATCGGGCGAGGCGAATCACACACATCTATTACATTCTCGCATATACATTTAAGCATTGAACTGTTTTTGTATGGTATTTATGATCTATTTGAATGACACAGCTTTGCAAGCAAACAACATAAGGCGCGCTAGCTGTGTCATACAAATAGATCATAAATACAATACAAAAACAGTTCAATACTTATATTTACGTTTTCTCTGCCTCTAATGTTCTTTTGTAACTTATAATTTATATTTAAAATTTAAAATGCCCGCCTTATCGACAGTCCTCACAATTTCGTTCAATAGTTTGAACAGCGTATTGTCGCGTGCTGATTGGCAAACGAAGTAGTACTTTTAAATTTTAACAAACACTTCAATTTTATTCCACAATTTAGTATCAATACAATTGCGTATGAAATGTCTATAGGGTGATTTAAGTTTATCAATAGAACTCTGAGCTGAAAGTTAGATTTGAAATTGTTTCGATTTTCCCCCGGAGAAAAATTCGCGCATGGACAAATACAGTGAACACCGTAAATCCGACCTTGCCCTCCACGAGGGAGTTATTTTTGGAAGTTAATTCGAATTTTTATCTTTGCTCATTTTTATGAAGTATCAAAGCGTAAATTTATTTGTTGATTGTATGGGAACCTGACAACAGTCGGTAGATTCTATAACAGCGTCGTTATTTGACATGTCGCCTGAAACTGAGGAACCGTGGATGCGAGACGCGTGAAACTGATAGCGTTTGAAGTGAGTGATCTTGCGACGGAGAACAGGTTCGTTACAAATGTCTGAAATGTTTATGTGTGCTGTGACTCATATCAGTAGGTCTGTAACATATGTGTCAGTAGGTCTATAGAATATGTGTATTTCAGACATTTGTAACGAACCCCTGTTGATCAGTGCAGTGTAACAGACGATATTTCTGATAAATTGCATGAGCGTTAAAATTGTTTCCATTGCCGGCATTGGTGATTTCAACCGATGTGCATTTTGTACGATATTGCAGACCTTGGTCTTGTTTTCGTTGTAATAAAAGTGTTTTTTATTTTATTTTTTATTTTGCACATAAATTTACGATGACATTGTCAAATCTCACAATGCCCAGCGATATTTCAGCTGCCGTCATGTTTATTTATATTGGATATTGTAGTTCCGGTCAGTGTTGTATTAATACGCTAAGAATTGTGTCTCGTGATGCATGGTAATTAAAGTCCCACCAACAACACAGCTTTCAAAGAGGCTATATAGTGACAATGCCATGCAAATGTAAATATAATCAAATATTCCCGCGTTTCGGTAGTAATAGCGGGAATTGTTTGTCTTCGCGGATACGAGGTAAGAACGTGGCGCACTGGCTTTAGCGCGTGGTCACGCGGTTTGTGCTGCTTTATAGGCATTCTCTTGTCAGACACCGAGCAGTTCAGGTCATTTTTTGTTGTTTTTGTTTTACGAAGTAATGGGTATTTTAGGTGTATTCACTTGTGGACGCACACCCGTGGGTAGGGGTGTTTAGGTAGGGGTGGAGTTCAGGAAAGGTTTCGTTAGATTTGTTTTGTAGTTTCTGCATTGACAGACATAATTGATAAATACATGTGAAATTTAACGCAGGTCCAGCGTTACCCCTAGACCATCCTGCAATGGGCTGTAGTAGTTCTCCCGCCTTTATCATTGCATGTCGGCAATAGGACACAGGTTTTCCGGGGGCAGCTCCGGTTTTTCCTGGGCGGCAGGGGTTTTGGTTTGAGATGGGGAAGGATGTTATTTTTGAATAACAGATAGCGTGTTTTGTTAACGAATGTTTGGAATGACACATCTTTGTCAATTGGGCGTCAACAGATATATTACATCTGTATTTTGTATGTATCATGTTTATATTTTTCTGCAATATTAAACGCCGACTGCTTGCGGTGCCCAGGGCTAGACGGCAAAGGGATATTTGTAGTTTGTGTAATGTTTTTACATGAGTGGAGAGAAGACTGTTATAATTAAGCAATGAATGTTTTAGCAAATGTTGTTATGGTCCTATAACACACATTGCTATTGATGAAACACTTAATAATGTCAGCAATAGAAATGTGTGTTATAGGACCATAACAGTATTTGCTAAAATATTCATTATTTATACTTTCATTATGATCGAGTAGTTACGCTTTATTTAGTTATTACGAACAGGTCTTTGAACAGCAATTTAAGCCTTGACAACAATGAAATTGATGACGTTACAATATAGACTGGTGACGTTACAAGAGCAAGTGTTGTTATAGTCTCATAACAACATTTACTTTCTCAATGCATTGCAATGGAAGAATGCAGAGCAAATGTAAATGTAGATTTTTAAACGGAATTTAAATTATGTTTTTTCAAAATGTCACAATAATAAACTATGAAATATGACATGAACCGTTATAACCTATCCAACATATCTAGGCCGACAGGAATAATGTAGTGCTTTTCTGGAATCCAAGGCATATTTTTAGACCAGCTTTCTTCCAAAAGCGTTTTATAATTCACACTGTTTGGATTCCTAGTTAGGAATAAGGAATATTTGTTTCTTATATTTCATCCATTCCGATATCTTGGCACATACTGTGAAACCACTAATTTTGGTTGATTTTCTTATTTCGTTGGTTTTGTGGGTAATCTTCATCCACGTATTCACAGGTTCACGATCTAATTACAAGTTTAATAGGAAGCATTTTTCCATTTCAGTTGGTGCTCATAATCCACGAATTCATGTACCCACGATATTTTTTTTTGGTGGGAAACCAGGAAAATTGAGCCCCACGAAAACATTTGATTTCTCAGTACTTGCATGATAGTATATGGTAGCCGGACTCTATATATGATGGACATGCACATTTTGTCATGAAGCCATCCTAAACATTTCTTTTATATCATTCCAAACAGCAAAAAAAATCTGCCAATTTTTTTCAGAAACAGTTCTTCACTTTACGAAATAAATCACTTTGAACATTTCATCAGATTTTTGGCAGATGAATAACTCAATAACACGAAAATATAGGTGGTCGTTTGATTTTTTTCATATCCACGATCCTTAAGGATTGTTATACCAAGCAAAAATCAAAAAAAGTGCATTTGATCATTTGCACGTGGCTGGTTGTTAGCATATCAATTATGTAGTAATTTTTAAAATTAAAACACTTAACAGGTAGATAAAAATACGTGTTTAATATAGTGCAATACAACCATATTTTCTTTTAGTATTATAAATACAATATTGCTGTATACTGCAATATACCAGTTTTCTTGTATATTATGATTTTCCTAATTTTGAATAATGATTGAAAATTTCATGTGATCATATTTCATAGTTGATTGCTTTTGTATGTTACTCGATCTGTATTTAATGAAGACTGAAAGTTGTATTTAAGGTTAACTGCAATATTTCTGATGGTAAAGAAGAGTTGTATTTCCCATCTAAAGATTATGTACCTTTCATTGTTAGTTTTGTATTCATATATTTTGCAGCCTTATTTGGTGTTGTCATTTGCAATAACAGACAAATGGCCATATCAGTGAAAAGTAGTCTTAACACCTGAGGTCCTTAGTTTCAACCCCTACAGTTTTTTCCTTTCTTCTCTTTTTTTTTTTTTTTTACTTTTACATGCTATACTGTATTTAATGTTTTCATTGTGATTTCATGTAGCATTGTAGCAACCAACAAACTTACGCAATTAAAATGTTCAATCGGTTTATGAAGTGAACACACTAATTGATTTATGTAAACAGATCTGTATGATCGAGCTTAAATAAGATATTTTTAATATTTAATAAGATTTTAGTGGACGCACACATTGCTGCCTCTATATCGCCATCAATGTAGTTTGAAATACAATGTGGTAAACATAAAATAAGCCTATAAAACGCTATAAGATCGTTCTTCAACTCAAGATCTTTCCAGAAGATTTTATCAAAGTCAAATACGTTACGAGATGAAAAAGCATTTGGTGGTAGACTATTCCAGATATCAATTATTCTTTGAGTAAAATAATGTCTTCTAATTATTTAAATGACAATGTTGTTTGAGTATTTTTTACTGTGTCCACGAGTTTTTCCTTGAGCGGCGAGATCGAACAATCTCTCCACCAAATTTGGATCATAAAGCCCATTCGTAAACCTGAACACGTTGATCACATCTCCGTGCAAGCGCCAGTATGTTAGAGCTGGAAACTTCAATCGGCGTAGTCTCTCGCTGTAGCCAATGGTCTTAAAACCGGGGACTGATTTTGTAGATCTTCTTTGAAGGTTCTCTATTCTATCGATGTCCTTAATTTTGTGTGGACTCCAAACAGCGTAATCTAAATGAGGTCGAACTAGCGTTTTAAAAAGATTTGTGCACATTTTTTCGTCCTAATATATAAATGATCTCCTTATTACAACTATGATGATGTGAGCTTTATTTATTGCTTGTTGGATATGTACAGATATTACATTTTGGTATGGAACTACTGTATTCTTGGTACGGGTTGACTAGCACTGATCGTCGGAGGTTCGGATTGACTGGAGTTGATGTACTGCATTTGTCAATGAAATTCGAATGTAATTATGTTAATACAAGATAAAAGTTTGCAGAATGAATATAAGTGAATACATTACTTGTTGCACTTACAAAATATAATTGATCAAGGGGTAATGAATGCATGACGTATTTAGAGAAACAACAAAGTCAATGAATACAATGAGTGCCCACATTTAGTCTCCTCTGTAAAATACTGTGCCTGACGATGTAAAAACTGTTATTGCATACTTTCCACCAATGGTCGAATGTGAACAATAAATCTCATTACCACGCATTGTGTAATGAAAATAAATCTTACAAAATAATTTGAAATAATGTCACTTCTTGTTTTCATTTGTGTCAAATATGAAGATCATATTCACATCTTCTTGTTGTATTTGTCATTTTCAAACCAGTCCGTTATTTCCGCATCTTTTGCCATTCCGTAAAACACACTACTTGTATCCTGAATAAGTGTTCGTGGGGTGTCGAATTCCGCGATGAGACCTTTATCCAGAACCATTACCCTGTAATGAAATCTTTTTGATATTTTATTCTTCAACAAAAACGCTTGATAGGGGATTTTCAACCCATTCGAAATTAGAGAAAGCACTGACATTAGATTGATTTTATTTTTTGACTATTTACACAATCAACAAACAGATAAGCTTTTCGAGACCAGTGCACTTGATATTTAACTAAAACTGACTGAGCAGTTTACATTGTTAATCTGTGGTTCGATATGGCAAAAACTGTAAACAAACGAGTAACTGACAATGACACTGCTGATTACCATAGAAATGTGTAAAATACACCAGTATTATTCAATGGTTGCTACGTATACATATGTAAAAAATGTAAATTACATATTTTTTTTAATTACTACATGTAAAATACCTATTGTATTTTTTTATAGTGTTAAGACTATTGGCGATGTATTTTTCCATGGCAGTGTTGATTGCTAAGAATGTAATATGCACGTATGAATTTTGGTGTAACTTACTAAGTTTTAGCATACCTATCCTACTTATGTTATATCGAGTGGCGATGTACTTTTCAATGACAGTTTTAATTACTCTGTGTGTAACATACCTATCATAATCCATGATAGTGTTAAGTCTGTGGGCGATGGTAAGTACAGTGCACTCCTCGAACTCGCTCTGTATCGTCTGTTGTATGAGTTCGTCAGTCTCCATATCAACAGCGGCGGTAGCCTCGTCCAGGATTAGAATTTTGTTTTTGTTGAGCAAGGCTCGACCGAGACACACCAGCTGTCTCTGACCTACACTAAAACGTATATATACACAACATAGTTAGGTTTGCACAGGTATTTCAAGAAAGGACACATAATGTCATCACAATTATAAAGATATATAGTTAAAGCTCATCTAGGAGGTCCATGCTTGGATATATCAACCAAATTGTGTCTTCGATCGATACATGTTTTGTAGGTATAGGATCAGTATCAGCGCCCGAGACAACCAGCTGTCTCTGACCAACCCTAGAACGGAGAACGCATTCATACCACAAAAGAAAAAGAAATAAAACCCTTTAATTTATTATATTTAGATACTAAAACAATGAAATAAGCTGACAAAGGAATTAACATCATGTCGATGTATTTAAGTTATTCGAATCACTTTTTCCGTTTATTGAGATTCAACCTGGATTTATGGAAGCTTATAATCTTAAATCATTACCTCAAATTCATCCCGCCTTCTCCACATTCGTAATAGAGCTGATCTCGTTGATTCTTAACAAATGACTTCATATGGGCGGACTCCAACGCTTTCCATATTTCATTATCTGTAAATCTTTCCAGCGGGTCAATGTTGGCTTTTAATGGCCCGGAAAATAGCACAGGATCCTTCAAACAATAAATACGATATCGTTCAGTAATTCTGATACTCTTAAACTAGGATTTATGTTTAAAAAGGTTAGAGGCCATTCAATCGTAGTCGTCGAACTGTTTACAAAACTCAAATTTTAAGTCAATAATTTTATGATAAAAAGGGTTTCCCACATAAAATAATAATAATAATAATAAAAAATGATTCATCATATAAAAGATAATATTGCTTTTTTGTTACATATGAATTATATTTTTTCGGTGATAAATCATATTCCATGAAAGGATATAATGTGTTAATCCCGTATAAACCTACGTACATGTACCATTATCTGTCCTCCCAATATCTCCCATCGAGGTGTGATTTTTCGTATAAGACAGATATCGAGGAGTGAGTATTTATGCAAGGCAGGTATCGAGGTGTGATTTTTCGTATAAGACATATATCGAGGTGTGATTATTCATATAAGGCAGATATCGAGGTATGATTATTCATGTTAGGCAGACATTGAGGTGTGATTATTCGTATAAGACAGATATCAAGGAGTGAGTATTCATGTAAGGTAGATATCGAGGTGGTATTATTCATATAAGGCAGATATCGAGGTGTGATGATTCATATAAGGTAGATATCGAGGTGGTATTATTCATATAAGGCAGACATTGAGGTGTGATTATTCATGTAAGGCAGATATCGAGGTGTGATGATTCATATAAGGTAGATATCGAGGTGGTATTATTCATGTAAGGCAGATATCGAGGTGTGATTATTTATATAAGACAGATATCAAGGAGTGAGTATTCATGTAAGGCAGATACCGAGGTGTGATTATTCATGTAAGGCAGATATCGAGGTGTGACTATTCATATAAGGCAGATATCGAGGTGTGACTATTCATATAAGGCAGATATCGTGGTGTGATTATTCATGTAAGACAGATATCGAGGTGTGATTATTCATAAAAGGCAGATATCGTGGTGTGATTATTCATGTAAGGTAGATATCGAGGTGTGATTATTCATATAAGGAAGACATGGGGGTGTGATTATTCATGTAAGGCAAGATATCGTGGTGTGATTATTCATGTAAGGCAGATATCGTGGTGTGATTATTCATAAAAGCCAGATATCGATTTATGATTATTCATGTAAGGCAGATATCGTGGTGTGATTATTCATATAAGGCAGACATCGAGGTGTGATTATTCATGTAAGGCATTAAAAGATAGATTTCCTGGTCAAGACATTTTTCAAATATTGCGAATTTTCCTGTCATCTTTAAAATTTTGATTTCACCGTCTTCACTATTAAGCTATTACAAGTGTGAGATTAATACCAGGTGAGCGATTCAGGCTCATTGGGCCTCTTGTTTAGTTTCCGAACAATGTCATCATACCCGCCCCTCAATATATCGTCAAACTCCTTTATCGTGCATGGATTTCACATAACATAATAATTATAAAGAACATTTTTTATAAAACGCCCTATCTAGCTAGAATAAGCCACTCTAAAGCGCTTTAGAGTAAATATATCAATACAATTTGGAGGACTTCGCAGAAGCTGCCTTATCAGGCGCTAACTACTAGTCCTATGCCACCTGGCTAATATCTCCCTATGTGTGTATGTCTGCGTGTGTGCTGGGTATGTATGGTTGTTTCATAGCAAATAACATGTAATCACCTGCGGTAGTATAGTGATGTTTGCTCTTAGGTCATGGAGACCAAGGTCAGATGTTCGTAGCCCGTCTATGGAAATCGCACCAGATGCAGACTCAATAAGTCGGAATAAGGCGACAGTCAGAGATGACTTCCCGGCTCCAGTCCTTCCTACTATTCCAATCTAAAATTCAAATGAAATCCACGTAAACATAATTTGCTTGTCATAAGATTAAACACTTGTATGGTTAAATCCTTGCCCAAGGATCATGGAACAAACGTCTACTTACTTTTTTGCTTAGCCATTCACGTATGACGTAACTGTTCATGATATTATTTGTAATCGATTAAGCCAAATCTTAAATTGTTTTAGACTTGATATCGTTTAATGATTTTGGAGCCTGATTTTGTTTCGGTGAGTCCTTTTATTTCTCCTGGCAACTGATAAGTGATAGCATCTTCATATGTTAGTTTGATTTGGTTTTACTTGATGGAATAGAATAAAAAAACAGGTTAAATTTGTCATGATATTTAATTCTGCCCTGTTCCCTATTGATTGTACTATGAGACACATTTCTCCAAATAGTATACATCGGTATAGGTCTTTTATACGAACGCATTGATATCGATGCAGTGACGACAAACATAATCATTTAACTTTATTTGGTTGATAAGGGCATGTAAAAACTGTAAACCATGTTTATAAACACTTTCATACAGCCATCCTAAGGGGTCTGCCCCGACCCAATTCCGTGGTTTCTTAGAACAAAATTCATTTTATGGAAAAAAGCTGAATTGTAATTGCTGCCATACAATTATTTTTTTTTAAAAGCAAATAACATTCAAATAATTTGGAATAAACTCAGCACTCAGTACCCATGATTCTGAATATGCAATGCCGATTGTTGTCAAATGTCTATGGCTTATTAAAATGGAAAAAAATATACAAGCGATGTTTTTAAACGGTGCAAACATTCAATTATTTTCTCGAACCATTAATAATAATTATAAATTTAACTGTACATGTGCGTGAAGCTGCTTGGTTTCTTATATGGTAACGACGCGCCTGTGTACTATCAATACAATTATTTAGTATGTTATGCTATTACCTTTTCCCCACTCTGTATCTGACAGTCTATGCCCCTCAGTACGAGGTCCAGTCCAGGACGGTACCTTGTCGTGAACCCTTCGAACTTGACAGTTCCGGAGTTAGGCCACATGGGAGGAGGGCGGAAGTTATCTCTAATCCATTCAGCCTGTCAAAGGCAGAGATGAAATTAATTCGTTATATTTCTTTAAACCACAATGGTGACATTGAACAAAAAGAGGTTTTCATCGGTGAACAATTATACTTGTGTTTATAAAATAGACATATTATTTATTCAGCTCTTAACAAGTTTAAACCCAGAGCAAACGAGAAATGCCTTCGCCTAAACACAAGATATTATCACTAATAATATGTATACGCTTTTTCCATTGGTACGGAGAACAAACAAACAAAGCTTCGATACAGAATACGTGTTTGACAAACCTCTGCCGGTAGATCCGTGTACTCCACCACGCGTTCCGCAGACACGATGTTCATCTGCATCTCGCTGACAGAAAACACCACTAGTGCCAGTGACACAACTATCTGCAATTTGAAGACAAATACAATGGTCTCCATCGATTTTCCAGTTAATATATATATCAAGGTACATCATTCAGGTAGTTATAGAAGATTTGTATTCAATTAAAAATGAACAGGTTGAATGGTGGCACATACGATCATGTAAATCATATAACGGAATTAGACTTTAATTTTCGCCCTTTTCGCCCTGTGCATTGTGAACGAATTTATCATTACAGCGAATATGAGTAAACAGCATAATAAGCATAGTAATTGCATGTGAACGGCGCAATTAACACTGGGCGAAAGTTGTTTCATGGGCGAAGGGCTAAAGTTTGACTGGGCGAACATTTTCTGATATGTGAAATAAACACTTCAGTCTGTCATTACTTGTAATGAGTAATTGAGAGATAGACCGACGTCCCCGCTGCCCAAATCGGAGGAGTTGATGGCAAACAAGGCGGCCACAAACACCAGTATATTACTGATAGTCTCCACAATGATGCTAATCCACCTACAACAGGACACTTCAGAGTAAAAAATCAGTCGCATTAGAGACGTTCGGGGAATTGGTAACACTATAGGTTCATAATATTCACATTTTTCACTCATTGCTACTTTTAAATAACCCAGTACTCCTTTAAACTTTGATATTCATTTAAATTAGTAAATTTACGTGCATTACCTGCTGTTTAGTTATTAGTGAATGATTAAAAATACAATTTTACGCAAAATGTATTGTTCTAAAGTGTATTACTTGTTTGTATATTTCGGATAGTGCATATGACTCAAACATAAAAGTATGATTTGAAAGAATGTAATTCGGTAACATCTTGCCCTAAACGACTCGAGCACGTACAGAAACATGACGTATGGTCAATTTATTATTGAAAAATAATATGTTTAAAAATATAAAGCAGTCGTTTATATACAGCAAACACAACACAATAAGAGTAATTTCCATTTAATGCAACTAATAATGAGTAAACACTTTCACAACAAACATCCGTGGAATGAACAACCTTCTACTTGAATCTGAACACAAACTCTACTCATCTTCTTATATATAACAAATACGCTGTGAAATGCAAAAACCCAAACCTTGCATCAGATATACAAACTTTATTTATCTTACAAAAAAAGAGAAATGTGATAAGATTTTGTAACTAATGATAATCAGTCTTGTTGGACAGGATGGAAATGTGCAGAGGGTCTTAAATCGTACAAAAATATGGAAAGCTGACTAAAACCCTACTTAGACAAAATAAATGTATCAGGGAGAAACAAGTATATCCCTTAAATCCCTAATACTAACATTTAATTTGTTGTAAAGGGTTTAAAGTCCTATCAACAGCTAATGTCATTTAAGGACGTGCCTTCATATGTGTTTTGTATATGCGTGCATGTGTGTGTGTATGTGTCTTTGGCATGGTATGTTAGTGTATTTGCCTTCTTGTGATAGCACTGACCTGATACCGACTTTAAAGCGCTATCTCACTGAAATACCATGTCGAAGGCACTCAGAATAGCATTCCACCCGGTCACATTATACTGACAATGGGTGAACTAGTTGTTGACATTACCCATAATGCAGAACGTTAAGCTGGGAACATTAGTGTTTAATAATTATATTCAACTACTTTTTACCTTCCCGACACATTAGCTGCATAGTAGAAGACGGCGTTCTTGTCTAACCGTTTCTGAGATTCCTCTATAAAACGCTCGGATACCTGGTACGCCCGTATTACACTAGCGCCCGTGATTGTCTCACTGAAGTGATTATATACCGGCGAACGAGTCACTGACTCTATTCTCTTCAGCTGACGCGTTGTTGGTAGGTAGGAGATCTATGAAGACAGAAATGAGACGTAAACAATAGAAATACAGAGATCGAATGGTTCGCAGAGGAGGATTCCACTAGCGAGACTTTTTCGAAAGCTTATTCGGTAATGCGTCGGACTATTAACCAGATGTCCTGGGTTCGATCCCAATCAGGGGCATTGAAAATATTGACATATTAAAACAATTTAAAAACATAATATGCAAATAATCAGTATATGTATGAGGAAAAGTGATTTTCGCAAAACAAGAGCTTCCTCTCCCTTCGCGCTACCATCCAAGCAAACAAAAGTGACAGAAACTGTTCCATAAATGCTGTAAAATACAGAAATATTTTAACGATTCATTTCAAGCTGGTTGCGTCCTACTAAACTATATATGGTATCCTAAAATATCAGAACTGCTACTTACCAGGGCTACTGCAAATATAACCCCTGCAGGGACAAGAGCGACGAGGAAGGTTGGTATCTCAATACATATAACAAGGACTGTTGATATCAGAATGAACACTACAATGTTAATGAGTCTGTAGGTCCTAGGCAAACGGTCATCAAGGACATCTATATCACTGGAGAACCGGTTCATAATACGACCGATAGGTGTCGTGTCGAAAAATGACATGGGCGACCGGAAGGTACAGTGTAGCATCTGTGCATGAAGGCGGCCATTTCCGTGCACAATTCTTAGTAGTGAAACGAGGCCAAACAGCTGAATACATATTCCTGAGAAGAAAGGTGGATGTATTTGTCTTTGTTTGGAATGAACATCATTAATGTAAGAAAAACAATATTAACTTGTAGTCTACAGACATAGATCATGATATAAAGTACACGAGAAAAATATTGCAGTTAAACAAAACTTTTAAAGAAGCTGTTATATTCATGAAATTATCATTTGGCGAAAATTCATTTTATGTAGTCGATAAAGTAAGTTAAATTTTGTTGGTTGTAATACAACATATTCAAAAAGCATAGTTTGATGTCTGTTTTGTTGTCACTAGCCAAGTTCTCATTACAAGGACATGCATTAACCTGGATGTGACTTAGTTTAACATAGTGGATGTCGTCGATGAAACATAAAGCGCTAACCCTTCCGGTACATCTGGTCTTATTATCTTTTTACGTTTTCAATGGTACCCATGTACATTTAAAATGTTATACTATCTGCCCTAGTTTTATCGTTTTCTGTCGAATAAAGGTGATTTTTGACAATTAAGCAATCTCTTTATTTTGTTAACTTTTCGAATCAATATATCGGGGTTGTTTTAACTCAGTAATTTTACCTTGCACAATGCCGATTACTCCATAAACCACGAGGTAGTAGACATTTCTGTTGATGTACTCGTCCTCCCCTTGGTTACTCGTGTTGACGAGGTACTCGTCAGTTGTCCAATCAGTGATCCAGAACGTTGAGTACATACTCAGACCTTGAAATGCGACCATCATCATCAGCGAAAAAACTGTAGCGAACACACCCGCTGCTTTCATGTAGGCGATATACACAGACCATTTCACCTACAGTATCATCGACAAATGTTATTTATGTTAACGGACGATAGAACAACAACACCACAAGTATGGATTATAAGGTGAATATGACGTGATATGAACCTTCAAAAGATATAATAAACGAAGCGAGGCCAGGATATGATGTGAAATGTACCTTAATAAAGATATTATTACCACGCGAGGCTAATAAATGATCTGATATTACCATGAAAAAAGAGATATATAACGAATTGAGGCCGATGTATGATGTGAAATAAATACACAAAAAAAAGATATTATTACCAGGCGAGGCCAATATCATCTGATATAAACATGAAAAGAGAGATATATAACGAATTTAGGCTGATGTATGATGTGAAATGAACCTAAAAAAAACATTATTACCAGGCGAGGCTTATATCTAATCTGATAGTAGCATTAAAAAAGAAATATATAACAAAGTGAGGCCGCGATATGATGGGATATGAATCTACAAAAGATAGTATACAAGATGAAGACTAAATAAGATGTGATGTGAGCCCAATAAACTGAAATATCACTTCATCATCTTTCTATCATACATTTGTAGCATAGAAAATCTAGAACTCATTTATTTTAAGCTTCAATCATTTAACACATATACTGTACGATTGAGAGGTATTTAGCAATTTCATCATTTATTATTCATATCGTATAACACGGCTTAGACAAACATCTTTTTGACTATTACATTGTAATCGAATGTCTAAGGAGTTTTTCAAATTTCTGTTTTTTTAATTGGACTACACTATCTTTTGGAAAACTAATAATATGTGTAGGGATTCGCCAATGGAATCGATACAAATTATTAAAATATATAAAATAAAATACAACAATCTACCAACGTTGTCAGATAAAATAGTTAATAATATAATAAACATGTTTGTACACAATTTTAAACAGACATTACCATAAAAAAAAGTCGCCAAACGACTATAAAACTAAATCTTATAATTACAACATGAGGTGATATGTCTTTTAAATTAATTATAGAAATGTAAAAACAATATCGATAAAAAAAAACACAATGAAGATATAATTATAAACCTACACATTGTAATATTACAAAATAAAATTCAATGCGAGACAATCAAAGTTTAAACCAGCCTGTTAAATTTTAAAAATAAGGTTTAAAAAAAAAAAGATTTTTTTACCGCCCCTTCCTCTGTGGTTTCATCTGTAATGAGCTTTCCTAGGTCAACGTCCTCTGTCTGTTTCATTGACCTTGTTAGTGACCGTGAAAACGTCCTCGACATTTGACGGGAAACTGCCCGAGTTAACTTTTTTGATGGTACTTTCCTGAAAGGAAGGCGAACACTTGGTAATAATTTGTTGTAGAGAATATCTCAAATTTGTAGGTACTGACCTCTTATTGTACCACGGCGAAAGCAGTTGTTCGCAATAAACGGACATAATTATTATGCTGCGGAGACGACCCCTTATCTTTATGTACCAACCTGACACTTTGCCGTCGAGACAACCCCTCTACGCTGATGTTATCATCTGATGTAGTCAGACCATCAGACATAACCTCCTCTTCGTGTTCCCACAGTTCGTCCTGCATTTCCTGTACTATAATTATTCAAAATCATTATCAGTTCATCACTTAATAAGACATACAGTTTCTTTGCGGATAAATGTATGCTACTTGCAAGGTACACTTGTATTGAAATTTAAAAAAAAAAAACGAAATATTTTGGAAGTTGTACATAGTCATTTAAATAGAAAAACTTTTAACGAGAAATTAACGTTAATCTAAATAAACGTTGATAACATAATTCTTTATATGTTTTACTAGGACTACAAACAGCAGTCGACTTCGTGTTGTTCTACTCACTTGTAGCGCATACATACGTTATATGACAATTATGCATGAACATCAATTTCAACAAACATCTACTGTTCATACGAAAACGAACACACGTATGGCACAAAAATAACACTCCCATACACACACATCATTATACAAGTACACTAAAATATGAGAGAGACAGAGAGAGAGACAGAGAGACAGAGACAGAGAGCCCTCCATTGTTATTTTAACTTTATCATGTTACAGTCGTGCAAATATTTTGCCCAGACGACAGTCTGCCAAGCAAGTGATTCTAAACTGTCAACAATAAATAAAAAAAAAATACAATTTATATAAATCAGGCGCCATGAATAGCTTCTCTTCTTATTAATTTCATTCGATCAATGGTAAAACGTGAAAACAGCTGGATTGAAAAATGGTCCGTTTTCGTTCAAGCAAAGAAGCACATTTTCGCTGGTTAACAGATTGTTGGCAATGCATTTGCGTCCGGATATACATGACATACTGTTCGTGTGTTACCGCTTGTTCAGTTTTAATGCGTTTTATTAGTACGTGAGAGTCAACAAATAAAAAAAAAATACACTATGAAAAACCCCTCTTTTAATCATTATTAAAGTGTGGGTTTCTACCGGTATACACTCTGTTTAAAGCACACAGAGGAAGTTAGAGGGGAAAGCAAACAAGAACTAATTTTATGATTGGATGTTAACTACTTTTAAATAGTTACCAGATAATGTCCTTTTTCGACGGGTTGTTCCTGTCTCTGGTATAAAATAAAAATGTCATCAAACAGAACCATCAATTATTTTATAATTTTACCTTTTTAATTATTTGTGTATGAGAAGCCAGCGAAGACGTTATACTACATTCTGTTTCATGAATGATGCTAAAACTCTATGACATCGAGTAATAGTTAATATCAATTCATATCAAATATTTTCTAACTTCAAATTCCTTCTTTAATAAAAAATATATGCATTGGCCATAAAATTGGATAATTAATGCAATACAAGAAACAATTACTCAAGAAGCCAATGGGGCAGTCTGATCATATTGGATTGTTGCATATGAAAAGAATGCATTTTTCCTTTCAGGAATACAGTTCATATTGTGATACATACCTCCAGTATCTTCATCGTCTTTGTCATTGTCGTTTAATAGGAAAGTTTGTAGGAAGTGAGCGAAAGGTCCATTATGTTGTAAGAGTTCCTCGTACGTGCCTATCTCAGATATCTGACCACCGTCCATGACGATGATCCTGTCCACATTAGGAAGCCAGTGGACGCCATGGGTCACTAGGATACGGGTCTAAAAATGACGTCTTTAGTTGAGAAAACACATCAAGAGAATACCGAATGTCTACAATATCGTAAGGTGAACTCAAAATCAGGAAATTGTACTTCAGAGAAAGGAAAACGAGTTGTACGTTGATAATTTCTTGTAATTCATTTTATTAGATATGTACAAACATGCCATCCACTAGACTATACATTGAACAAATTAATAAACGAAGAGTAAATAAACCTAATATTACTTTTTTGTTGACTCATATTCTGTCAAGCTTTCTCACCAACTTGTTTTCCTGATCTATGAATGAGTCTCTTGCTTCTAATTGTGACGTTTTTACATTTTTACTTTATAGTAGAGCCGGAAACTATATCTAAGCCGTTTCCTTGAAAACGAATGTTATGCGTTTGTTAAAAAAGCAATAATACAGCTATTTCCAGAGACAATTTTATAAATCTCATCATCACATTATCAAAAATGACATTTGATCCTGGAATTAATTCAAAAGATAACCAATTTTTATAATTGAATATTAACTCCATTTTAAATCAGTTTATTTTTTTCATATATTGTATTTGTAAAGTCTATCACTTTTTTGTCCAAACTTTCATATTTACCCGTATATTTGCAGCCCATGTTATACCTTGTTTTTCAGCAGCAAATTCGTAATGAAAAGACATTTCTATTTTAGCAGCTATGCTTGTGTCGGTATACCAATCGCGTCTTACCTTGTTTTTCAGCATCCCTTCGTTGCCGATGACTTTCTGGAACAACGCCTTGCCCACGTGACTGTCCACTGCACTGAGAGGATCGTCCAGTAAGTAGACGTCAGCATTGTTGTATACCGCTCTAGCCAGACTGACCCTCTGCTTCTGACCACCACTCAAGTTTATACCCTGCATAAAACCAAGACAATACAAATTAATAATGTCAGAAATAATATAACATTTCAAAAACATTAAGAGTAGTTATATTCTCATATGAAGCGTTGGGAAATGGGTTTCCTGGATGAAATAACCAAGATTAGAGAGACACACGGTAAGATCGGGCTTATGACAGAAAAGTGCCAAACCGTTGTGCATTGAGGTATTAAATATCATTGAATAATCACAGAACTTATTATGTTTGCCAATCGCGATGATGAAATGCTTGCTTTTTTTAATCAACGCGAAAATATCCACACGCGAACATGTATATCAAGATTATAGATAAATTGAACCTATACTTTTAAGAATCTTAGCCAAAACGCGAATTTCCACACTGTGATCTGTTTTAAGAGTCAAAACGTGAACATTTCGACACAAGTTTTTTTCCAGTATAAAAAAAATTGAATATTGATATTGATGAGACAGAAAGTGTATACAGTTATACGATGATTTAAAAGATAAATATGACTCATGATATTTTTCGTTCTAATTACCTTTTGCCCAATTTCAGTTTGGTCCCCGGCCGACAGTATCCGCAGGTCAGGAATTAGTTGGCAGGCTTCCAACACTTCCCAGTACTTCTTCTCAAGATAGGTCTTTCCGAACAGTATGTTTTCCCTTAATGTCAAATTCTGTATCCATGCTTCCTGGGGTACGTACGCGAGCGACCCCTAGTGGGAAAACAACAAAAGGATGCATAGACTAGTAATCACTGATGACAGCCATCATTAGGTACATAACATACGAGATATCTACCTGATGATTACAAGTGAGGATATCTATGTTTTAATTTGTTTCATAGCAAGCTAACATGTTTTATATATAACTGGTAACGATATACAAAAACAATATATATATAAATATCATTTTATGTATCATTTAATTTGTCTGCTTCGTTTTAAAACCTTCTAGTTGATGTTCAGATTCACATGAAACTTTAAACATACTTATTTTAGCGCGATCATAGTTTTAGTACTTAATCTAAGTTTCTTTTTGATGTTTTCCCCCATTGAATTGGTATTTTTCTAATTGTCACGAACATATCGCAAGCAATATAATACGACTAATTCAAACATATGTCAGCATTAGCCAGCCCTGTCATTAAGTCAGATAGCATAAAATGTTTACAGTTGTAATTGATACTGAAATGGATTAGAAGGATTTGAAAATGGTAAGGTTTAATGATTTCAGGTGGCGTTTTTACATTAAATATGTATTTGATATACAATGTATAGACATTTGTAAAAATGGGGATCAATTTAATGTTGCATTCAATGAGTAAACATTAAATTATTGCATTACCTTTAGGGTGATTTCCCCTTCAAGCCTTTCTAGCTCCCCCAATACGGCTGAGATGAGCGAAGATTTGCCAGAACCGACTATACCCACCACCGCCACCAAACTTCCCTCTGGTATCTCGAGATTGATGCTGGAATATAAAGAATGTAAATAATTTAAAGAAGAATGTGTAGTCTCTAATGACGAAGACACATGTACAACCAGAAATAAGATTAATATTACGAAGAATTTTGTAATTAAGATACTGTATCAGGTAACTAAATAACAATGATGTTTTTTGTGAACACAGAACGAATAATTTTAATTTTAACGAAAAAAACTACACCATCGTATTAACACAAGTTGACAAATCAGATGAGAAATTGATACAAAATGCGTCAAAAATCTAGTAAACATGAACTGATACGAAATCGTAATGGTACTCGCAATTAGGTACGATTAAACCCTACATTGTTTTAACACAAACATTTAAATAACTATGTCAGTATTTTTTTTTTATGCAATATCAGATATGAAACATGACACTGACTTTCTCAGCGTGGTGAGTTGATCTTCAGTGTCCCAGGTGAATCTGCCGTTTCGGATAGTCAGAGCATTTTCTAAACAAAAGAAAAGATGACATTCGTATATCGAAATAAATAACACTCACAGATGGTTGTGTTAAAGATCCTGAACAGTCTTGTACTGCACTGAATATTACACAAACATATGTTGTTTACTTCGTTTTGTTCATAGTGAATAATTAAAATTGGATATCATACTGAAATTCCAAAGCCACGCATTTTTTTTTTATTTATTAAGCGAGTTTAAATCATTAAACACTGAGATTTAATTGCATTTTTTTCACGTCGAATATCAATCAAATTTAACTTATCTTTATTTAAACTTGTACAAAAATGTACAAATTGTGAAAAATACATTTATCATAGAAATCATGATTAATGAGGGGTAAATATTCTAGCTGGACCATGAACACCTCAGTACACATACCCCCGTCTGTGACACGATGTATAATATCGGGTTCTATATCATCTTCCCAGAGAAATTTCTGGATACGACCCACAGAAACATGAGTCTGAAAATAGTCAAAGTTAGAAATCATAACTATGATTAGGCTAATCAACAGCAATCAGGAAATATTAAATTAATCTATATGTTGATAATATTCATTAATCACAGTTATATTTGAAACAAAACTATGGACATATTAATATATGATATGTAATTTGGGAAATCAGGACATAAACATGATACATGTACCCATTTAGGACAATTATCATGTATAGCATTTTTTTCGTGTTAACTCCGAAAATTAATATATCCGTTCTATTAATATTAATTGAACAGTTTTGTGTTTGTTAGAAAAGAAAAGGACTTAGATAGTACATTCGTTCAAGACAATACGTATTGATTAAGCTGTTAAGTGTGAGTGCGGTATACAATAAACCGCGTTAATATATGTTAAGATTACTAGTTAACCTAAGTCAAAATACCTGTATACCGGCAGTTATAACAAAGGGAGATAATGCTATTGCGAACCGGATAACGTTGACCACGGAAACTATCGTGAATGCTGTCGTGGCGTCAAGATACCGAGATGGATCTTCTATTACGTATATCAACAGGACGGCAAAGTTCATCTGTGGAACAAAAACACGTGCCTTACTAATTCCACATAGTAATTCGTCTCTTCATATATTGAATTAAATTTCTATCTGTTTGTTTGTTTGTTTGTTTGATTTTGTTTAACGTCCTGCTAACAGCTAAGGTCATTTAAGGTCATTAAATTTCTATCTGAGTTTTTTGCACTTAACCTATGATGTTAATAGCATCAAACCTGTTTGAGGACAAATTACAAAGTAATTATTTTAAGTTTTCGTAATCACACTTTTAAACCAACATGTAAGTATTTATACAGACATACTTGCTTCATCAAAATTTCAGCAAACCATTTTGAAATCAGATAATTGTAAACTTCAATTTATATTTATCAGTTATGATCTGTTGTTGAGGTGAATATTTGGTAACATGGGACCTTGGAAATTGGTATTGACAGAAACCAGGTCGAGGTCAATATCACTTCCTCATGTCAAAATAACCACATCTTTACCTACAAATGTAAATACGGTCCATTGTTATGGTATAAGATGTTCAACGATTTCTTTAAAATCAAACAAGATGAAACGTATGAAAATTAAATGGAGGAAAGTACGGCATTTGAAATGAAGTCATAAAGTGAATATTGATCTGCTGCTTCTAAAAATAGTTACACCGACTCAATATCACAAATCACAATATAAAATCATATCAAAGGTTAAGGATTAGGAGTGTTTAATTATATTAGGACAACATGTTGTACATTATAAATTGGCTAGCCTAATACTGTATACCTGGACATTTTTGCTGCAGTTTTATTTTCGCCTTTTTCGCCCTCAGTAGTGGGGGCGAAATTATCATTAAAGCTAACATTTCTAAACAAAATAGTGCACAAAGTAATTTAATTCCACGTAGGCGACGCATGGAATATCAGAGAAAGTGTGTTCTCCTACCCAAACAACTCCAACAACTCAGTTTGAGTATAAACTGGTCTTGGTGGATGTTGCGGTATTTGTGATGTAGCATTCAAATGAGCTGTCACTACGAAAGATGCCGTTGGAAGCACGGTCCCACTACAAACAGAACACAATACATCTCCAGCACACACGCAGGCATACACATATAGGGAGATATTAGCCAGGTGACATAGGATTCGTAATTAGCGCCTGATAAGGCAGCTCATGCGAATTACTCAAAAAAAAATATCCTAATTATATTAATTGTATATCTATTAACTGTAAAACGCTTTAGAGTGGCTTATGTTAGCTAGATAGGGCGCTATAACAAATGTTGTATATTATAATGTGAAGGGTAAAATCCATACTGGTCCAATATGGATTTTACCGGCTAAGACTGAAAATTAGACTGGGCGAAAAAATCCCGGTATATAGTATAATATTTGAACTTTTCTGAAAAGAATAATTAAATATTACAAAAACGTTCATATACAAATGTAGATGAACAATGGAATTAATTAGACTTTCTGAAAATCATACACCATATATGAACAATGTCTTTATCCATTGCATCTCTGAAATTAACATATTATTTAAGTCACATTCTAATTGTATCAATCTTTAATATCGTTCTAGATCTTTTGCGTCACACAAACTGGTATCAGAAAAAGATTATAGGGATTCTACAGTGTACTTACAAAGAAAGGGCTGTGATTGGACACAACCAGAGCGAACGCTGTTACTATGGCATTCTTTTTAAGAAAATTCATCTCGAGAATCCTAATCTTCTTTATCTTCTCAATAAATGTAGATTCCCAGGCATACATCTTCAGAACCTTAACAGAAATACGACATATTGCAATACATAAGTAACATCCCGATATATTGTTCTAGGTGAAAGGTGCTCGATTAAAAAAGGTTTGTAGTCAGAGTGCTATCAAACTGAATCATTTATTATATGGATCACACAGATTTAAGTTTTTCTTTAAACTATACATTGATTGTGAGACTTCAACTGATTACACTGTACCACATACATTCTACTGTTACAGTAGTTTGCACCCTCTTGGAATAGCTATTAAACACCAACTTTACCATCCTTAATATTCCAGGGTTGACACTCACTAGAACCCCTAGAACCCCTGGAACATGCCATAACAAATTCGAAGGCTCAGTGTTTACCATCTTGTGGATGAGACGCGAAGACTAGTTTGATCCTTTGATGTACATCAAAAGAATATGTCGGTCGCGTAATGAACAAAAAATACTCGCTTTGAAGTCGGGTGTCGCTCCTCTGTAATCTTCAAAGGACAGGTATCAGACTAGTGATTGGTCAGTGTGTGTGGTTTTTTTTTTACTATAGACCTATCAAATAGCTAGCCGCGTGCTTTCAATTTTGCTATGACATATTCCAGGGGTGCAGAGAGCAAAAGTGATGCAACTTACTTTGATGCCATTTAGAACCTCATTGAATAGTTTCATTCTGTTGCTCTTGAACTTGAGAATACCTCGTTGGTATCTCTCTTGAAGGAGGCCAAAGTAGATATTTAGGATGGATAAGATGACGACAATGATGATGCAGCCATACAAACCGTCTCCCACGTAGACCCACACAAGGTACAGACCTGCATATGAACAAACAGACTAATATAATGTTTCAATCACTTCAGGAGGCTTGCCGAATATTTGATAACTTAAGAAACTTTCACCGAAAGTTGATATTCCCCATTTCACACCAGGGAGGTGGAAGATTTCTTTCACCCTACCCTATTGATCTTGATGCAATGTTGCTATAAGTTCAATGCATTGTTGACTTGACGTTTATACTTTGTTTATGTGACGTCATTCTATGGTTAACGTTACGTCGTAAACTTGTTTTGACTGTGGAATCTTGTCGTAATCCCCTCGTCTCAACCATAGGATGAGACAAGGGTATATCATATTGGGAAAGGTGGGGGATACACCTGTCCGGGCTAAGAGAACTGAACGTCTGTATTCATAGAACCGTTCGCATGCGTGCAAATAGCTCATTCAAAATGCTAAACTCTTAGACACGTTTTCTAAATCTCGTATGAAATTGAAGTTCATCTTAGATCCTCAATACTGTCAAACTTGTGACCACCTGTGTAAACAGACCGCTTTTAATAATTCCCATTGAAGTGATTTCATAGTAAATTTACAAGTATTAAGGGACCAACTATGTTAAGAGACCACTTTTAACTTTACCCATATAGGTGATATCAGTATGATATTTGTCTGTATTAAGAGCCCACCTGTATTAAGAGACCACCTGCATGCAGTTTGATTTTAAAACATACCGTTAAAGTTGAGATATATACTGTACACCGGGAAAGTATTGCCGCTGTTTAACTTTCACCTATCGCCCTCGGTAATGAAGGCGAATTTACCCTAAGAGCCCTCGTTAATCATGATAAAAACTAGAAATTGTAGGCTAACAATTTGATGGGCTTTTCACCGTTAGGACTGATTTGGTCTTTGATTACAACCCTATTTTAAAACCTCAAGGTCTTTCCCCTCAAACCATAGTACTGAGAGTCAGCTTTGTTTTCCGTTTGATATAAATCTAGGTAATGAAAGGAAAAAAGTACTGATTCAATTCCAAAACTGTAAAAATTTGAAGGTGGATTTTGACAATAATTTATTTAAGTCATATTCAATGAATGTGAAGGTCATTTATTGAAACATGTTAAAGCCACCCGTTCAAGAATGTTCCTTGCCAAATGTCCTTACAATTATAACACTACCTTGTTTGGGAGAGGTTTATAGCAATCAAATGTGAAGGGCGACATTAGCACTTAGTGAATAAGGATTTTACCAGCGCATGACGAAATGTTCCCGGTATACAGTATAGCATTGTGATATTTCGTGTCACCATGATTGTAGATTTGTTTTAATCATTATTCAAAAACGTTTATTTCCTGATATTTTTTCCTGGCGGCAAAACACAGGCACCACATATGGTGCAGGAACGGAGTTTCCGGTTCCGGTCAATGGCTATTTAGATGGGGATTTAATTATATATATAATTTTCTAGACATAACACACTATACAACGATACCTGTTACGCGACCATGACGACATACATGTACCCATGTTAATTCACTACTTACCAATGATTGTGATTGAAAATAAGGAGAAGATCCATTGATGGAAGGCGAAGGAGTCCTGAATTCTCTGACAGTCGACCGACATCAGATTTACAATCTCCCCAACCGTGAAATCTTTCTTTACCGAGTTATTCATCCGCAGCGACTGTTGACAAACAGAGCCAGATTTAACAATTTAATGACACAATCACTTTATTCGGCAGAGCCGTTTAAGGATGCCCGTTCCACTACTAAAAGCTGTACCAACGCATCAGAAAACGTTTCTCCGTCATGGTTATAGTTCTGATAAATCATTTTGACCCCAAGGCAATCTCTTGACTGGATGCTTTGGTCAACAAATGTGTCTTGGCTCCTTTGCGCTAGTTATATCAAAAACGAAATTTAAGGGGGTTGCTGTATACACGAACAAATCCACAGTATACAATGATCTGAAGTCCTTGGTTCCAATCCCGATCTGGCCTCATTGGAATTTTGCACTCAAAACATTAGTGTTGATTTTTGTTTTCATTGTATTTTTGCATTCAAAACATTGGTATTGATCTTTTTTAAGGTTCGTTTTTTGTTACGTGAACTTACTTCTTGTTAAATGTCCTGCAGTGTATGGTTTACCTATCACAAATGATTTATCAAAGCGAAAACCATAGCATTTCCAAGGATTGTTACATATTAAGACTTCCTATGCGCTACTTTCAGGCCGACAAAAGTGGTTCAAACAAGTTGAAATAACTTGTTTGTCAATGGTTGTAAAAAAAAAATCAAAAAAATGTATATATTAAATTATGATGACGTGTCCACCTATCTCTGTCTACAAGACAACCTTGTGTGCTTATTGTATAAAGTCACACAGACATTTCACAAACCTTCTGGTAGATAGCCCCTACAAGGGCCGACTTGATCCTGATGCCAAGGGTCAGGGATAAATGGAGCGAGGTGCTGTAGGCGAATGTTCCTACTTCCCCTATTAAAGCGATTAGCACTGCAAGTACGTAGCCAATCCACGCAGGTTCTCTATCCTCCGCCTTCGCCTCGATATAAGACACGATCATACTGAAATAGATTTTAACGTCGAACATCATGTTGTTGTTGTTGTTGTTTTTACTGGAAATCATTTATTTTCAAATTAAAATGACACACGAGGTTTACCGAGTGTCTTTCACAATTCACAAATTGGCTAGTTACAGTAAGGTAAACAAGACAAGTAGCCGTTATGAGTCAGGAGACCGTTTTCTCCCACAACTATCAATCTGTTTCCGATCAGGGACATTGCATGCATCATGACGTCACAATGGTAGATGGCGGCGTAAAGGATTTTTATGTGACGTCTTCATTATTAAATTGACCAATGAAATCAAGTACATGGTGCTACCCACTAGTAGGTAACAAAGCATTTACCATCTCCTAGAGGTCTATACAATAGGTCGGGGGGGGGGGGGGGGGGGGNAAAAAAAGTGCATTTCTATTATCAAATGGATTGTGTACCTACCCTAGTAGAACCGGCTGCAGCATAAAACACACGTCACTAATAAACCTAGCGAAACACGTCAACAACCATATATGGCCGTATGTCTTAAACAAGGACCAATATAGCGACGGTCTCTTCAACGTCGTCACAGATGGATCGACACCACCGGAAGTGACGTGGTCGGAAGACAGAAGAGGTGTGTCCTCGCCAGATTTGGTAAATCCGTTCGTGACGATCTGGTGTCGGCTCTTCTGTCTGGGTGTTCCAAGCGTCCTTCTGTTAATGGAAACAGGTTGTTCAGGACTTATCACAACATTTTGCTCAACTGAAACGTTCTATTCTGGAATATGCAGAATTGGGGATATTTGTTCGGCAATAAAACCGTTCCCTTATGCTGGTTATGTATTGCCATACTCTGATACAGACAACTTATTATTTTTCATTTCGACATATTGTGACATTTTCAAAAAAAAATACAAATTAGAAAAGAAAAACGTCATCAAAGCAGTGAAGATTGATTAAGAGTTTTGTGGAGGCCAGTGAAGATTGATTAAGAGTTTTGTGGAGGCCATAATAATCACATTGGGAAATACATTATTTATTAGGGGACAAAAAGGTTGATATTTTAAAACGCTCATAAATATGCTTTGTTTTTCGCTGCCCTGCTTCACGCAAACCGGAAAGTGACATTGCTTGGATGTTATTTTAGTTTAAATCAATTTTATTGCAACAAAAGACAAATGGATTGGACAAAAGTTATTGCAACTTACTTACGTCCTTTCCGTAACAGAAAATATATATACAAAATTAATGAGTCACGTAATAACCTAATACAATTCATATATGTATATATATATAAGATGTTAAAGATGGGTAACAGCAAAAGAGGTAATGATAGGATTAGGGACACCAACGTATAGTTTTTAAATATGTATTCGGATGTTATCTAGATTTACATGACATGTGACGCTTGCCCTTCCAGAACACGTTTTACGTGTACTGTTTCAAGGGCATCTATTTAAATAAAAATCTTTTTGTTCACAATTTGCCTAGTTTGAAGGAGTTTGCGTAGAAATGAAATTTTTGTTTTATTCAATTCATTCAGTATGTTTTAAATTGAGGGTGTGATACTCTTTTGAAGTTCAAGAAAAGCTACACTTTTATCATTAAAAATGAAAATGTCCACGTTATCTGTGATGTTTCATAAATATACATCGACATTGAATAAAACGCTTTCTTTTATAATTACATCAGAACTTTTTATACAAAATATTGTTAAAACAAACTTGCTAACTATCACAGTTACAAGTTTAAACCTTTATCGATGCCTCGGAATTTGTTTACTGATATTAAAGTAACCAATACAGCTCTATATTTCTGTTATTATCAATATTGTAAGGGGCACTGTTTTTGGCTTAAGCGACAATAATGTAAACGATATGTGTATTAACTCGGTTGTCTTACTAGTCTCGTTCCACCAGACTCTTGTTGCCTGCGCAAGCTACGCCGAACAGAGAATTATGAAGTGATCAAGCGTCTGGTTCAACGAGACTACTGTCTTACAATCGTCAGCTGTAGGGAATTTCCCTTTAGTTCAGCGGTAGAGCATCGGGTTGGAGAGCCAAGGGTCGCGGGTTCGAGCCCCGGCGCCGGTATTATCTTTATCACTATTCCTTGTCCTACTGCAATAATATACTGTTTCCGGTTGGTCATTTATTCAGTGCTGTTTTTGATTTTGTGAGGTAAATATGATATAAATGTTGCTAACCTATTCGCAATGTCCGCTTTCAGCTTTGCGGCGTCCCAGGACCTGCCTAGTTCGTACACTGCGTTTTCACACTTCAGTCGTGGTGTCTGTTCCCATAGATCTCCCGTACCCATCTTTGTTCTGAATGCTTTGATGACGATACTATAAAGTAGTCATGAAACATACATTATCGAAAGTATTTAAAACACCACCTTAGTCCTTGATATTGAAATCACTCATAATGTAAATAAAAGAAAATATCATCGTATATAAGGATTGCATTAAAACCATGTCACGTAGATCCATGTACTTACGGAGTTAACCAAAAGTACGTCAACAGCGATAACGTTGAAGCATATTCATCCGGGCACTGCGGCTGAAATACATAATAAAAACATAACACTAAAGCACAATTTGTGACATGTTCATATAACACAACCAGTAAAGTGTGTGTCTTGGACTCTAAGGTCTATAAACTGCGTATCGTACTAGTCATCGAAACGCTAACTGGTAGTGTTATATGAACCTGTGTAGAATCTATGACTATAAGTATTAAATGTTCCGCGTTCTCTTAAGAAACGTTATTTAATGTATTTGATATACACAGGCAATAAGTACGGGAGAAAATATAGCTCTGTCAATATCTCACGACCAGTGTACAGGTTCATATAGCACAGCCAGTGAGGTGTGTATGTGGGAAACTAAAGCGTATAAACCACGTGATAGTACGATACGAAAGGTGTAGTCATCGAAAAACCTAGTGGCAGTGCTATGGTATAGAATCAATTCTTACCAAACTTAAGAAATGCTTAAACAAACACTCTACAACGTCAATGACGCAAGAATTTTTATTTTGTTATATATTTCTTCACAGTTAGTAAATAAACTTTTTAAATCTATTGTTTGAATAATATGTCATCCAATTCGGTGTTGATAATTGAACAATTAACATGAGAACACGGTTATTAAAATACAGCTTTGTTATATATAAATGTTTACTTATTCTTTTAAACAATTATGAAATAAGTTCCTTCAAAAAAAATATGAAACAAGTTTCAATCTGCAATAAGTTAAAGTCAACAATGTCCTTTTAAATCTAAATTAAGTAGGTATTAATAATAATTATTCTGCTCTATTGCAACCGGAACTTACTAGACACAATATGACTTAACCGGAAGTGACGTATTAGTTTACTCACGCCATCCTCTCCAACTTCTTGGTACAGCTGTCCTGAACGTGTGTCGGCGAAACAATGGAGTATTAGTTGTGTACATAGGACCGCCATGTAGACATAGTGGAGTATACTGATAGCAGCATCTGCCTAGCAGTCCCAAACAAAAACAGTCAGGGTCACGTGATTTTCAAAACAGCCAATCATAATTATAAATAATTCGAGGTTCTTATAAAATGCTTTATCACAACTTAATGCGTACGTCGTCTCAAAGCGGTTCACAAATTATTATCCGTGGTTATAGGGCATTTGCAACCAGCCAATACCTTTCTCAACTCCCCTAGTGGAAAACAGCCGGTGCTGTCATTTAGGCGCTCACAGCTAGCATACAACAATTCCGGCTCTGCCCAACCACGTACTCATTTACAGCTGAATAGACTAGAACAAGCAGAGTAAAGTATCTTTTTCAAAAATAAAACACACAGCGCTTTTACGTGACTCGAACCCGCAACCGTTCGGTCACGAGCCCAGCGTCCTACCAATAGACTACCGTGCCTCCTTACAAAACCAATACAAAAAAACGACGAATTTAGGAAAGTTTTTAAGTTAAGTTAATCATGAATAATATGATTCTGTTGATTACTTTTGCGATATATGAAGTCTTCGTTCATATTTTTTTTTGTATATATTGCAGTTGTGTCGATGTGCTTAATATAATCTGCTAAATAGCGAGAACGCGCTAAAATTCGAGTAAGCTAAAATAAGTATGTTAGCACTAGTTAGCATCAATTCACGATGATCACTGATCGGGAAATCAAATGTCCCGCTAAAATGTAGTCAATCATATGTTAACAAGAACTATACGTCCTCATTTTTATATCACTCTGCAAATATAATTTTATAACAAAATGAGTTCCACAGTTGATACCCATCAGTGGAGGTGGAGAGTTCCTCAGGGTCATACACACAGACACAGGCTATACATGGACTGTAGGTATAGACAGGGAGGATGTCCTGTGGGTAGTGTTTTGGAGTAACAAAGTCAAACTACTACAGTACAGCAGTATCTGACACCTGTTACCAAACAACTTAAGTATATCTAGTTACCATGACAATGACATGGAAATCAAAGACAAAGTAAACCTATCATGATTACCAATCAGCTAACAGTGTGAGGCATTCACAGGATTATAAGTTAAAAAATCACGAATTCATCTTTTGAATTGAAGCTAAATCGGAAAAAATGATGATATATCTTATTACCTGGTATGAAATCGCTGACTGAAGTGGTATTAATCCACAGACAAATAAAATAGTCCAGTAAAAAAATATTACTCCGGAACTCACAACCCCAGAACATCTGACGTACTGGATAAATACTCCCGACACAGCCTGCAAAGGTCAAACAAAAATAAAATTTAATAACCATGTAATACTTTTGATAAAAACCAGCAAGACAATACCAAAGTGTTAAAAAAATCTAAATTCGAACTCAAAATCGATCAAACTAGGGGAAAAAATTGAACGCATGAACGATTTTCACTGAGAGTCTTAATAAAGTACAACGAGAATACGACCGAGAGTTCCGGTAATACTTGGACACTACATAGTTATCTCCCTTTACAGTTTTTTAGGTTATTATTATTATGTTTGCTTTATTGTTTCTTTCAATATTTCATATAATATAAGTTCTTTGTATATATGTCTCATCGAGGCTATTCACTTTTACGGATCAATGTTTAACCACTAAGGCACTTTGTTAACCTATGGGAGTGATTTTGAAAACAAAAAACAAAAAAAAACACCAGTTTTTGTACTTGTCGCAAACAAAGTGTTGTTGATTCCTAAGTGAAAGATAGTAAACTATTCTGAAATAAGCTCATTGACCTTTCAAATGGACTAGCTATACATATTCGTAGTCTATAATCACACTATTTCAATATTTGTACACTGTACTAGCCTTACCGCTTTTTGAATCAGAATTAAAGTAAGTACCAGAGATACGGCACGTAACGCAATTCCGATATAAAATGAAGTTGGGGGAGTGTCGGTCCTTGATGACGTCACTTTTAAGGGCGTGGTCAAGTCTGTGGGCGTGGTCGTGGCTTTCCATCCCTCCTCCTGTATCGCCCATATTTGAAACAATGTTAGTGCTAGTAACACGACACATACAACCTGAAAAATAATATCAAAAATAATAATATGTATTGAATAACAAACCAGAACAAAAGTAAACTTTGATAATAAACTTTATAAAAATACATCGTAATTGAAATTGCCTGAATTTGATTCACCAACAATACATATGATCTAGTTATGAAAAAGCAAGACAAATACTACAATA